TAAAAGGTAATTCATTTGTCCATATATATATTGCGGTTATATACCTAATGGTTTAAACCGCTAAGAGTGAGTTTAAAAAAAAACAATATATTAGTTAAACTTGTTTAAAAATAATTTTGAACTACGGCCCGTCGCTTCGGATGCTTTTCAACAGCCGTAGTCACGGGGACACTCAGGCGTCGGGCCGAAGTTTCAACATTCAAATAAACAGTTTTATTTAGCCTCATAAAACATTGTAAATAAATCAGAAATGTGTTCGCCCCTGTACCTCGAGATAAACCGATTTAACTTTTTTCATTGTTTTAAGTATTTCCTTCATTTATTTGTAAAAAATGGAATCGAAGCGAAATATATTAGTTGAACTTATTTGAAAATCATTTTAACTGATTTGTGCAAAAAACTTCGTACTCATTTATATATCCATTTTTTTTTTGCGGCAAAGCCAAGCATATTTTCGTTTTGAGCTTGGCTCTCCTTTTTACATTATCTTTTTAGTTGGATTTAACCTAAATTTTATTTGCCATATGGATGACGCTTCTATTAACAGTACAGTCACCAACACATGTGCATTCGTGCAGGTAATCTGAAGTTAGGCCACTGTTATCCAAAGTTTGATGCAGTTTGAAACAAGGTTACCTTCAAATTATACGGACGTCTGGAGACTTTACAAAGGGCAGATGTGCATGGAATCACTCGATAGAAGAATATTGATAGACTCGTCAAATGGTAGTTATATATATTTCATGATCAGACCGTAGGTTCGATTCCCACGAATTTATTAAATATTTATTTTATCTTAATTTACAAATAATAGTAAAATAAAACAAATGAAACTTATATGTTAAAATGAAAGGCGGCCGTATCGCTAACAAGCGATCTCTTCCAGACAACCTAAATTTAAGGAAGAAAATAATGAGAAAAAAATGTAATATCTTCAGGTCAAACTAGACATTAAATTGTCGGAATATCAGAACTCCATCGAAACGAACCACCAACAGATTAAAAAACCGTAATGTAAATGTATTGGTAGATCTGTGCATCCATTATCCAACATAGGCCGACAGTGCATCTTGTCAAGATGTTATCTAGCTTTCTTGCTACCATGCTTTCTTTTTGACTGAAACCGCTTTTTTATCTCTCGACGCTGGTTCACGACCCGAACGAAATATTGATATTCTCTTCATTTCTAGACGAAGTTCAACAAATTTCATAAAATTAAAGAAAAACTATTAGTGGGTCAAACCGCAGGAAATATTACTTAACTCTTAAGGCCCAATGTTTCGAATGCAGCATAAAATTTAAAGTAAAAATAAGTTAAAACAATACTTCGGGTCTTAAACCGTTAAAAGCGAGATAACAGATATACAAATTGATTAGACAGATGTTGTACCTCGTGGGGATCGAATTTATGACCCGTTAATTACATTGCTACCATGAAACCAACAAACGTCAAAGTACGACAGACTGCTTACCTGTCCTGAGAGTTTGTTTGTTTGTTTGAACGCGCTAATCTCAGGAACTACTGGTTCGAATTGAAAATGTTTGTTTGTGGGTGCATTTTTCGAGGCAGGTCACAATACATCGCCCTGTGACTAAAATAATTCATCATGGGCTTTCGTGGCGTACGGTGAGAACGGTTCAAGATACCCAAAAATTATGTGTGACTTTAAATAATGTAAAAACTGCGACAGTATATGTCTATCTTGTAAGATTAACTTGCAAGAACGACGGGACGCGAATGACGTCGTGGGTAACATCTTAAATTAATAGATGTCCAAACTGACCATTTTACGCGGACGAAGTCGCTGACACAACTTGTAGTTAATAATTAATTCTTACACAACTGCAAACCAGGGAAAGAATTCAAAACACTCTCTCTCTTTTGAGATCTTCTGTTTTTTGTTAAAACAACCCTTCTATGTCACTTTGATGAGATTCTTATCTTTGAATTCTTTGCCTTCACTGAGTTTTCATAACTTTTCGATAAAACTTTCTATCTTTGAGCAGCACGGTTGACCGTTTACATAATTTAATTACAATAATAAATCTTTTTCACATTCATTAGTACGAGTATAAATAAATGTAATTACAATAAAATAATTAAAATGATTGAATTAAAATGATGCCAAAAGGGTCTTGCGTCAGCATAAGTTATGGTACAACACTGATTTTCAGCAAAACCCAACTGTTAAACAGCCCAATGGTGGTACCATTTGATATATTAAACAGTGACTTAAGCGGGAAACTTTAACTAATAAATTAGTAAATATTGCAATTATCGGCATAAATAAGAAGGTGAAATTTGATTTTAATTTCAGTATATTTTCAAGAAAAAAACAGTTAAGTGAATATTGACTTTTAAATAAAACACTTTAACGGTTTAAAACGCGATATAAGCCGTGGTCACGGCTGCCGCGAAGCATCCGAAACGTCGTGCCGATGTTAAAAATCATTTTCCAATAAGTTTAACTAATATATCGCGTTTTAAACTGTTAAAGTGTTTTATTTAAATGTGTACTACTCGCGTAAACTACGGACTAATTTTTTTGTGCTCACGGGGAGTCGCCCCATCATTTTCAAATAAGTTTAACTAATATATCGCGTTTTAAACCGTTAAAGTGTTTTATTACAATATTTTTGTAATCAAATATGAAACTGTTATCTTTTTTCCGAATAATGTTATGCCGTACAGGTATTATAGAGTAAAATAAGATGTATCCACAGTTTTGGTGAATGAAAGATGGTGAATGGAATGAAAAGTTGATGGAAGATGAAATACTCCAGCGATGTAACCCCACAACAAGATGCGCTGTCGAACTTCTTGGCTTTGATTTGGTAACGCGATTCAGCTTCACGGCTGTTTTTAACCTAAACGGAATTTTGGATATCTCACCACCAATTTAATATCCAGATTTCCAGGCGAAGTCTAACATTTATCATAGTTTCAGAATTATATATTGTTTACCAAGATTTTGGACCCGGTGGGAATCGAACTGACGTTGATTCGTATACACTGCTACCGTTATACAGACGCCCGACACTTTTCTCCTTAAGTTCTCCGAGATTGTCTGTTTGTACTTTGTGTTTGTTTAAAAGCTAGAGTCGGCATTCAGAGAATGAAGGGTCAGACCCTCCTCCCATTAACATTAGTAATTTTCTTTTGTAACATCATATGCATGATAAATTCTTTAATATTTCAATCCTCTCTTTCTCTTTTCCCCATTTGGGGCATGGGCCACAAATTCCACAGATTTAATTTAGAGATAAGTGTGATGTATTTGACGCTAGACCTTCAGTAACAATTTTTTAAGCCTCAAATAGAACACTTCAACGGTTTAAAACGCGATAAATATTATTTATGCCAGCTATATTAATTTTTTTAAGTTGAAGAGTTTGTTTGTTTGAACGCGATAATCTCAGGACTACTTACTGGTTGGAATTGAAGAATTATTATCGTACTGTCTGTAAATTACGCGAGTAGTACACATTTAAATTAAACATTTTAACGGTTTAAAACGCGATGTATATTTGTTTTATTTTTTTAACTACGGCCCGACGTTTCGGATGCTATGCAGCAGCCGTCACGGGGAGACTAAAGATGGAGGGTGTCACTGACGTCAGCTTAACTAATATATACGCGTTTTAAACCGTTAAAATGTTTTATTACAGACAGTATGAATAAGACTTGCCAAAGTAACACTCTCATTACATAGTGGATATAACAAAATTATAGTTAAATACTGTCTGTAGTTTACGTGAGTAGTACACATTTAAATAAAACGGTTTAAAACGCGATATACATTTGTCAAACTTGATTGAAATTTATTTTATCTACGGCCCGACGTTTCGGATACTTTGTAGCAGCCGTAGTCACGGGGATGACTAATATATATCGCGTTTTAAACCGTTAAGATGTTTTATTTAAATCATAGTTCTTTGAGTTCAGTGTCACAAGTTCATACCCCGTTCGTGTTACACATTTTTGAATGATTATTACAAGCATTGTGTATTTAACGCAATATTTGAAATGATGGCACTATATAAATAAAAATTCGATTTTATTTATATCTATTATTTCAATTCAAATAGAATTTTTAATTTATAGAAGTCATCATGTAAGTTTATATAGTTTTACAAACATACATTTTGCAATAATTCTTTGTACGTATTTGTACATACAAACGATAGATATTATGACAATGAGAAAAAAAATGAAATAAGAAAAAATATATATTTTTTTAATTCGATATTGTTTTTTCGTGTGAGAATTCGGAATAATTTATCGGAAAAAAGCGAGAATTTTAAATTGGAAATATTTTGAATTTGAAAATATCTATTGGCGCCTCTAAAGCCGAAAAACTTATCTACTTACCCAAAAAAAATAACTATTGTCTTTGTCGTAGAAAACAAAGCTAAAATCTAGATAAATAGAAATATTGTAAGAAATCCACAGTGGCAAGTTTCTATAAATAATTTTAACGGTTTAAAACGCGAAATAAATTGGTTAAATTATTGTAACTATAACCTGATATTAGATACTGTCTATAGTTTACGCGATAGTACACATTTAAATAAAACACTTTAACGGTTTAAAACGCGATATATTAGTTAAACTTATTTGAAAATTATTTTTAACTACGGCCCGACGTTTCGGATGCTTTGCAGCAGCCATGGTCACGGGGCCGGAGTTAAAAATCATTTTCAAATAAGTTTAACTAATATATCGCTTTTAAACCTTAAAGTTTTTATTTAAATATAACCTGAATTGGACGCTTTTCAACACCCGTGGTCACGGGAAGACTGGTCGAGAATAAATTTACTTTTAAACCATTATAAATGTTTTATTTAGATGACTCCTACATGCATAACTACAGACAGTATTAAAATCGCTTAATATGCACTAACCTTATGTTTAAGTAATCGTCAGCGTTCCGGAGACAGGAAACTGACGTCGAATCTCAGGAGGTGCGTCATGGTGCTGCTCTGCGTGACTGACTGACCTGGCTGACAGACAGCGCGACAGTGAGCCAACACTCTTCGCTGGCAGCAGCCTGTTGCGGTGGGCGGGGCAAAAGGACACGCCCACAGCAACAGGTGACACCCATCTGATAATGCAAGCAGATATTAGGATGGGTATACAAGTTTAAAAAACAAACACAATTGTTTGAAAACTTTAATATTTTTGTATAAATTAAAAATCGATTATAGATTGACTCTGTAGCTCAATTGGTTAGAGCAACAGCACGGAACGCTGTGGATGCCGGCTCAAGTCCTGCCAGAGTCCTATTTTTTTTTTCAAGTACTAATCGAATTTTAATTTAAACTCAAATGTTTCAGAAATAGTAGCTTCATCGCTTAATAGCGATTTCTTCCAGGCAACTGGGTAGATAGAGATTGACAATAATAATAATAGTATAACTAATAAGTTTTAAAAATGTTAAAGTTTGACTTAATGATCTTAAAGTAATTCACTTAATCGAATTTCTAATAATTAGCGGGACTTGGGTTCGATTCCCGAAGGTCCAACGTGTTTCTAAATAATGTATAATATAAAATTATACATTATTTAGAAACTATATATAAAAATTGCTCTTCAATTGTAGGAACATGTACCTCAGAAAGACAATTCATAGAATTCACGTTATTAATAAAAAATCATGTTGAACGTTTAATATTTCACACCTCACGACATAATATACCTAAATTAAAAATCTTTGTCGCAGATTGAATTTTTTCTACGATGCAATAGGAATTTGAACCAACCACAGCGTTCCGTGCTGTTGCTATAACAATTGAGCTACCGTGGCTTTGGACACGGTAGCTCAATTGGCTAGTTGGCCAGTGCCGTGAAAAGGGTTCAATTTAAATATTTTTATGGTCGTGTAATTGTTGACGTTTTTATCATTATTGTATTCTTTGTGTGTGTCATCTTAAATTAGTTTTTTTATCTTAATTTATCATTACCTATTAAATAAGTATAGAGAACAGAGAAGCAATTTTAGCATATGGCAATAGAGAACAGTTCCACCAGACAGATGTTACAATTAAACTAATAAAATCAATAGGTACCTAAGTACATCAAATTATATTTGTTTAACCCTGCGCAGTATTTGAAAAGTTAGTACGTGTTTTAAACAGTTAATAATGTTACCCAGTTAAAGTCCACGAAAGAGGCACTAATCTTCAAGACTATGTAATATACTTTATACATTTTTAGACTGTTCACGTTACGAATAGATATAGACGTTACGGATGCTTTGCAGCAGCCGTGGTTACGGGGAGTCGCCCCGCAAACTACTAAGTTTAACTTATACATTTAAAACCATTAAAATTGTTTTATTTAAACGTGTTGATGTCTGTCGTTAACGCTAGTAAAACATACAATCTAGTGTCTATACTAAAAGAAAATATTCAAATATTTAAAAGAAAAACCAATGAGAACGGCCCCTAATAAAAATAGTATTCCTCCCTATTCCGTTCCGACTGTTATCTGTGCTTATAATAGATTAGACCAATCGACTCCCCCCCTCCCCCTACGTCCGTGATACCAGTCCTGGATGCATCAGATACTCTCATTAATATACAAGTCTTGTCCTATATTTGTTATATATTTACGAAGTAAGAAACAGGTTGAAAATAAGATAGAGTAAGGAAAACTAAATTAAAGATTGGAAAGTTATTTACTATGTTTAAATAGAACACTTTAACGGTTTAAAACGGGATATATTAGTTAAATTTATTGAAATTTTAACTTCGGCCCGACGTTTCGTCACCCGTGACCACGGCTGCTGCAAAGCATCCGAAACGTCGGGCCATAGTTAAAAATCATTTTAAAAGTGTTTTATTTAAATGTTACTAGCGTAAACTATAGACAGTATTTATTTACGATGTTATTATTTAAATACTGTCTATAGTTTACGCGAGTAGTACACATTTAAATAAAACACTTTAACGGTTTAAAACGGGATATATTAGTTAAACTTATTTGGAAATGACTTTTACACAACAGTCTCCCTGTGACCACGGCTGCTGCAAAGCATCCGAAACGTCGGGCCGAAGTTAAAAATCATTTTCAAATAAGTTTAACTAATATATCGCGTTTTAAACCGTTAAAGTGTTTTATTTAAAAGATGTTATTATTTATTATATCTATATACTTATACTAGCTGTGTCACCAACTTCGTTCGAATAGTCACTTTTGGAATCAAATTTTGATTTTGCAAACGTCCTCCACATCGTTTTAAACTTAAGCTAACGCTAATAAGCTATTCACGATGTCAGTTGCCCTCCGTCGTTCTTGCAAGTTAATCTTAAACGATAGACATATACTGCCGTGGACTTTTTTTAGATCATTTAAAGAAAAATCATTCATTCATATATATTTTTGGGTACACTGAACCGTTTTCGCAGCGTACGTCTCGGAAGCCCACTGAAATAAACAATTTTCTTTTTTTTTATATATTTCCCGCTGCTTCTTCGCTTCTATTAGTCACGGCGCGATGTTTTATAGCCTATAACCTTCCTTGATAAATTTTCTAAACAAAACAAAAAAAAATTTTCAATTCGACCTCGTAGTTTCTGAGATTTCCGCGTTCAAACAAACAAACTCTTCAGCTTTATATATTTGTATAAATGTAGATTTTTAATTAATTTGACTTTTTTTCGTATTTTTTGAAACAAAAGATTTAACAAAAATTCTCTCTTCGTAAAACCCGCATCGCGTGTCAATCCTAAATCAAATGTTATCTTGTATCATAGCCAGAGGTCTCTAAAAGGCCTTCTAGCCTTGATAAAATGTAATTTTACCCTAAAAACCTTCACATTTTAAGAACTATATGCACTTGAAACATTATATAGAGTAGGACAGCCAAACATGGTCCACAAATTTTACTAAACATAAAGTATTGTCTTGTTGAGTTATTTTGACATTACGGACACGCTTCATCTTCAGTCCCCCTGTGACCGTGATGATGCAAAACAAAACGAACGTCGGGCCGTCGTTACAATCCATTGGAAATAATATAATTAACTAATATATAGATATATTATATAATTAATAATATATCTCCCGTTTTAAACCATAAAAAGTGTTTTATTTTAATATTCCAAGCGTGTTAAACCCAGTTGGAATGTTACGTCCATCGATTTCGCTTACACACCGTACATTTCGACGAACAAATCCCTCAAATCATATTTGCCGAGACAAAGTCAACATTAAAACATCGATAAATTGACGGTAGTTATAATAAAAAGATCAACACAGAGTTAAGTAATGTATTGTATTCGAAAAGACAGACGTACTCAACATTTTAACAAAATACAGTAGTAACTAGTAACTAAGGTTTGGTTTAATGGCATTCGACTCTAGCTCGCGATGTCAAGAATTCGATTCCCGGTGTGCCAAAAATAGATATTCTTATTTGTTTTATGTTAGGGGACTACAGACCTATTTTGAACCGAAACTATACAAAGATTAAGATTAAAGCTTTACAAAGATAAAAATGTATTATATTCAAATATTCTTGAATACCACATACGACATTTGTCTGAACGAAATTCAACAAACTTGTAGATTAAAGCCTATATAATTGTGTGTATGATCTTATGGGGCTTGTGTCCCAGCTGTGGGAAGGGTTTAATATAAATACTGTCTATAGTTTACGCAAGTGGTACACATTTAAATAAATTTTCAAAGAAGTTTTACTAATATGTCGCGTTTTAAACCGTTTAAGTGTTTTATTTAAAAGGTTTAATATAATGAGAATTACACTTAATGAATTAAAAAGCAAGTGATATCTTTTGAGTTAAACTACAAAAAAAAGACATCATCGTGTTTTACTAGTGTAGCCCTTTCATTTGATACCCATATTGAGGGGGTTAAGGAAAACTATGTAATCCGCCATTTTGTATCGGCGGCCATCTTGGATTTATAATGCTATTGGTCAATCTGACAACGGGAAGGTGCTTAAATTCAATTTCTAATTTTGACCCATATAAATAAATTCCGTACGGGTCAAACTACATAAGACTTTTATTAGCTAATAGATTTTACATACGTTTCGTTTACAGTTATATTAGTCAAAGGTTGTTAATGTCAGGTCCGTATTTTGAGATAAAAGCCTCCTCCATACCACGTCAGCAGTTTCATTGAATTAGTCCTATCCGCTGAATGGTTTACCTCAACCTGGGATCAACGGTTGTCCAACGTGTGTCCTGTCCATGCCCACTTCAGCTATACGGAAGTCATCCTGATGTGTTTGGCCTTTGTTGTCCTTCCTATTTTGCTGTTTTACTCGATCTTTCAGTTTGATTCAAATAAAGCTGATTTTCACTTCCTAATATTAAACATGTTAATAGCTGTTTATGAAGTGAAGGTAGTGTTTATTTTAATAGCATATTTGCGACATGATAAAAAGAATCGACGATAATTAGTGAACATTATTATAAACAGAGGTTGTAAACCTTTTTAAATAACTATCCACATTCAAATGTTGCGGGCATTTTATAACTTGGCATTGTTAATAACAACCGGCCATTTTTAATAATGCCCAAGAGCGACGAGCAAAGGGAAGAATTTTTCACTCTGACCGGCTATTACTAATAATGCTCGCGGCCCACACAATGACAGTGTTTGAGAAAGCTTGAATTTATCACTTGGACCGGGCAGTATGAAAAATGCTCTACTTGTTATACTTTGCCCAAGATTGTAAATAATGCCAACTGTGGGCAATATGATGACAGAGAAAAGTGATTACTCAGTATGTTTTAGTCACATTGTCAAATTTAATCGGGCATTATGAATAAAGACCGGCCATTATTAAAAGTGGCCAAACTTATCAAATTGTCCGTAACATTTACATTTAATTTGTATTTTTATTTATTTAAGCTATGGAATACTTACTATATTACTAACTTATTACTTACATTACATTATAAATATTACGAAATGTTTGCAGCAGTTTGATTGCAGCTTCTGCAAAGAATCTAATGCGTCGAGACCTATTTACAAAAAAATCAACTCAAATATTTCGCTTTTAAAACCGTTAAAATTGTTTTATGTACTTCTTTTAGTATCTACCATACTTCACCATCTCTTTATTTGTCCAGTAAATAAAGATCACAAGTATACTTAACTATTGTTATTCGTTAAAAAATGTTTGCAATATCTGCCAGAAGTCACGTCACAATGATTATGCGAGTTTATAAACTTCGTTCAAATATTGGACTTTTATTTCATTGCTAACGACCAATACTTAGTTTCACCCACTATGTCCATCACAGTAGACAACGTTAGTTTCTCAATTCGATTCTCTCTGACTTATCTGAAATTATTTGGGTTATGGGCACCTGACTTTTCGGCAAGGTGGAAAAAATGGCTATACCATTGTTATTTTATTATATTTATAATGAATGTAGGTAAGTACTGAATGGAAAAATACAATTTGTTGTCTAGCATTGCGTTAAACGCGAGAGGCCCTTGTGTAGAATCCTGGGGAAACGATAGATTGTTTCGCTCGGGCAGGGCACAGAAGTCAGATCAGCGGATATAAAAAGACATAAAAAAGTGTAAGAATATTTTATCAAACATGCTTGAAAATTTGACCATTATTTTGACCTTCTTCGAGAGAAATCGAACTTGCTGTACTGGTGTTAGGTCAAATGATTTGAATTTCGAACTGGCTGGCACATTATTATTATTATTTTCTATCGGGGACACCTGTGGTAGGACGGGTGATCAGTCCACGTTATCAGCCGACCATTTCACCCATTTCCCCATTTCCTCCTTGTAGAGGTTTTGGGTCATCCAACTCTCCCCGTGTCCCTTTCAAACCTTCCGGTTTGCTTGCAGTTTGGCTGGCACATAGAAAGCTGTTCTAGTTCTATTTGTTCGTCAACTTCGTCATTCGTTTTAAAGTTGTGAATTGTACTACTTAGTTTTAATTTCCGCGCATTTAAGATAAGTACTCTTCAAGCCTTGACCACAAGTACGCATTGATGGACATTTTCGTCCATCAATTGCCGCTCCAGTAATCTATACTAATATATGAAGCTGAATACTTTTTGTTTGTTTGCATGCGCTAATCTCAGGAACTACGGGTTCGAATTGAAAAGTTATTTTTGTGTTAATTAGAGCGTTTATCGAGAAAGGCTATAAGGCTATAAAACATCGCGCCGTGACCAATAGATGCGAAGATACAGCGGGAAATGCGGTAAAAACGGGGAAAATTAATCATCTTTGTAGTTTTCCGATGCGTACGCTGCGCAAACGATTGAAGTGACAAAATGATTCATCCTTAAATGATCTAAAAAAAATGTCCGCGACACTATACGTCTATCTATTAAGATTAACTTGCAAGAGCGACGGGAATGGCGTGACCGACGTTGTGGGTAACAGTTTACGTTTATAAAGATTACAGGGTTTGCAAAAACGAACACGGATACACAAAATAACGATTCTCGCGGACGAAGTCGCCGACACAGCTAGTCATCTACATACATCTAATGATGCCATTTATTTACGTTTAAGAAGCCTTCATAATCATCCAACTGATGGACCTGATCCAGGTCTGGGGTGATCTACCAATGATGACGTCAACTGCCTTCGTCCTCTGCACCAACATGGTACACACGATTAAGATCACAAATCTTCTAAGAAGGAAGCAGCGCATTGAGAAGATTGTTCGAAGTAACAATAAAGTTTTGCAGCAAGCTACTGGTGTTGAGGAAAGAAAACTACTTCAAAAGTTGGTATTCATACTTTTTAGAAAGAATTACATTTTATTAAGTATCACCAGCCACGCGTGCAAATTAAACTTATTTGTTACTTTTAACGGTTTAAAACGCGAAATATATAAGTTACCTCATTTACAATTTGTTTAAAGTATGGCACGTCGTTTCAGATGCTTAGCAGCCGTTGTGACGTAGTCACTGTTTTAAAATTATACGCTTTTAACTTTTTACAACGCAAAGAATATTACATGACTGCCTTGCATTTTTTGTAACTACAGTTGTTTTGGATACTACGCAGCTACGTAGATTTAAACCGTTAAAAATTGTGTTAACATTTCAATTGATTATTTATGAGTGACCATATTGTGACCACGGCTGCTAAAAAGCCTACGAAACGTCGAGTCGTAAAATGTGTCAAATGTAATTATTTCTAAAAAAAAAATTTAAATAAGTCAGTAATAATCATTTACCTATGTGTTGCTTGGACTATTTATTGAAAAGGCTTTAGGCTATATAAAATCATACTGCGACCAAAAAAGGTCATAATACAGTGGGAAATATGGAAAAAACGAGGAAAATTATTCACCTTTGTCTTTCCGTTGCGTGTGCTGCGAAAATTTAGTATCGTTGCAACCGAGCGAAACCAGAGCGGGTAGCTAGTTTTATATAATCTGTGTTTAGGTGCAACCGAGGGACCACCTGTCACCTCTTCATATTTTTGACTCTGACGTCTGTCACTTTGGTGGGCTTGGCTGTTGGTGCTGTTCTCGATTCGGAGGATAAGCAGTTGCTATTTCGGGCGTGGTAAGTTTGAAAATATTAAACCATAAACGTGGGGTATGGGGCAGGGATATTTGGTGTCCTTTTTGACAGATGAGGACAGATAAGCTAATATTGAGTCATGATGCGCAAGCGACTTATTTAAGCATTTGTCTTTAGACGTTCGAAAATTATAGAAACCGAAGCGCTTCTTTGACCCGGACGTGATTTTGATATTCCACCATCACCACTTTCATATACCACTTAAATATCCAGATATCCAGACGACGTCTAACATTTTTCATAAAAATTTAAACTGTATTTCAAAAACACGTTCGACCCGACCACTCATTGATTAGACATACATTTAAATAAAACAATTTCAACTGTTTAAAACGCGAAATATATTACTTAACTTTTGTATAATTTATTTATTAGGCCCGACATTTCACATTTATATAAATATAAAAGGGTTTAGTAATATATTTCGCGTTTTTTTTTATCATAGAGGACGACAGACACGCATATGTTTCATTTGGTAGGAGGTAATACACCCCAGCGATAAAACATCTACACAAGATAGAAGAGACCCATTTTGCCTTTGTACATTCGGATTTAGATACTCGTTTTACAATATAAAATACTTAGACATATATTATTAGCCCATGCATCGACGTCTTATCATCTTGTCTCTATGAATGAAGTGAACACAAAATAATGTCTCGATGCGTGGGATCGGGGAAATTAATTCGATCTATGCTAATATTATAAATCTCTTAAGATTAACTTACAAGAACGACGGGAACGAGATCGCAAAATCAAATTTCGTTACCAAAAGAACTATTATACGCTTACGAAAACGCGATTACAACCTTTTGTAGCTAAATTGGTGCTAAATCCATTCAAATCAAATCAAAAATCATTTATTCACGTAGGTAGCTTAGTACACTTATGAACGTCAAAACAGGTAAAAATTTAAAACTCTAAATTTACAGTTACTACCAGTTCCCAAGTTAGGGCGTAGAAAGAACGAGAAGAACTGGCAAGAAACTCGCCGCCTTCCTTACTCATTGTGTATATTTCTTACTTGATAGAGCGGGTTCCTCCAAGCATTTTTATCATTTAAATATTCATTTACGTTATAATAACCCTTTTCAAGCAGTTTTTGTTTAACATACGACTTAAAGTTATTTATTGACAGCGTTTTTACTTCACTGGGGATTATATTAAAATACCGTATGCAGTTACCTTGAAAATAATTACTTGTTTTATGTAGCCTTTTGTGGTACATTTATTTTATCTTTATTGGGCGCATTATTCATATTATTTCCAGGTACCCTTTCGACTGGAGAAAGTCACCAGCATACGAGATAACTTACTTCCACCAGATATTCGCTATATATCTTGCTGCTTGTCTGAATGTCAGCAAAGATATCTTGGTCGTCAGTCTTATAGCGCAATGCCGGTGTAGACTGCGTTTACTTGCGCACGCGCTGAAGACTCTGTGTCATGGTATGAAGACTGTGTGGGTATTTAGAAAAAACAAAAATAATATATTAATTTTTAAATCTTAAGTATTGTTAACATCGATTTTCTTAAGCGATGAGGTCCGGGATTCAAATCCTGCCGGCTTATTTTATGCGCTCCATATCACTCTCGAGCGTGTAAACAAAGTTCACTGACAGTGTGGACCTTCAAATTTCATTTTAATTGTTATAATAGAGAAGAGAGAGGAATAAAACGCTTTTAACGGTTTCAAACGGGAAATATATTTATTTTATTTACAGGCTCATGTTGGACAGTTTTCTATGCCCTGATAGCGGAAAATCATAATTACGTATCTTTGAGATTCGAATCCAGGACCGCTCAAGCTCGGCAACGCGTTTAACTGCGGACGGGGTCGCACATATAAAAATAGACACGAATTAGACTATCACATACTTATAGAACTAATTTTTATTATAGTGGACAGACAAACGCAGGATTCACTCGATGGAAGGTGAAACATTTCAGTCCTATAACATTTAAACAATTAATATCCCGAACGATCTCCACACGAACTCTCACGTGTTTCAAAATATTAATTAATAGATACCCCGGTGGGGACCCGGTTGGGGACCCACGACCCGTTGATTATCCATACTCAGCTACCCTCGGCTTAAACCAACAAGCCCGTCGAATTTTCGCCATATTTTCACGTCCTCTGCGAAAGCGTAGCACGCATTGAGCGTAGGCCAGCTACGAGAGTTACGAAAGCCTAGCCTAATTTCATACCGGCGTCTACAGATGGCGCTATCAACAATAATACATATTTACAATAATATTTAAATTTATTATCTACTTTTTTTAATGGGCTATTTGAAAAATCTTAAAAATGGAAGTTTAATGTTTGAAAACTTCAATATTTTTTTTTCATTACAACACGGGTGTTGTAATTTTTTTAAAATTTATATTCGATCTTCTATTCATATAAATCATGGTATTAATTAAGGTTTCATCACAGTCATTAAATTGAGCAACAGCTGATTAGTGTTTATAAGATGCATAAGAATTCTTTGTTGTCCTTTGAATTTACTTAATATATAAAATACTTTTAACGGTTCAAAACACGAAAAATATAAGTTAACTTATTTAAAATTTACTTTTACTACCCCTGCAAAGTATTCGAATCGGACGAGTTCTGTTTGTCTAATCGACGGGTCGTGGCTTCAATCCTCACCGGGTCCAATTTTTTTTTAATATATAGTTCTGAGACATCTTAGATCTCGTTTGGAAAGCTGGATATTTATTTATTATGGAAATTAAATGGATAGCGGAAGGTAGCGTGTCCTCCTCAAACATAATAACGTCGTAGTTAAAATAAATATAATAAAATAGGCTAAATAATATATTTTACGTTTTGAACCGTTTAAAGTGCCTTTTACAAACGCTTAAACAACAGACGATACTTATGTCTTTGTGTTAAATATTGTTTTTAATTGTATACACAAATCAATATATGTTTGTGTACTAACTAAATTGGTAATTTTTATAGCGTTTTCCTAAAACACTGGACGTCCTCATCCAACATCGTCTGAGAGATTGCACGAGGGAGCACCAGAGGATTCTGACAGCTGTGAACGAGATACAAAACTGCTTCTCTGCACCAACCTTCGCCCAGTTCTCTGTGTCCCTTGTGATTATATGTGTCACAGCGTTCCAGATGACTTCGGTATTACATTCCATGTTTCTGTAACTCAATGGTTGAATGTTGTTGGGTTAAATACTGTCTATAGTTTACGCGAGTAGTACACATTTAAATAAAACACTTTAACGGTTTAAAACGCGATATATTAGTTAAACTTATTTGAAAATGATTTTTAACATCGGCCCGACGTTTCGGATGCTTTGCAGCGGCCGTGGTCTGGCTTCGCACGGCTGCTGCTTTCAAATAAGTTTAACTAATATATCGCGTTTTAAACCGTTAAAGTGTTTTATTTAAATGTTGTTGGGTTGTAGGTTCGAATTCTGAGGATACAATAAATTGACAGATTACTGATAAACTTGGCAGTCAATATAATGGTAAAAAGATACACGTTGTGTGTGTTAGTTTAGTAATTTTGAACGTTTTCACTACGACTGCATAGTATACGAAATGAAGGGCGGAAGTTGAAAGGAATCAATCAATATAAATCGCGATTTAAACTGTTAAATGGTGTTCTATTTTCTGTGTGTCTGAATGAGTTAGCTGACCTGCCTATGGCCTTATTAAATTGTGAGGTCACTGGTTAGATAACCGATTGTGTAGCAAAAACATTTTTACGTTTTCAATAACTACACAGTATTGTTTAAAGATTGACTTTTAATCTTGTGTGTGTGTATCTCTCCGCCAGGATTCAAACGCGTATCAAACGATGGTATATATACCGTTCTATTTAAGGACAGCGGATGTCTGAGAAACATGGGGTCACTTGATGGGAGGTGAACTACCCCACCCGTATAACATCTAAACAAGATGCGCATGCGATGTAAGATTTTGGATTTTGGAAATCCACAGATAAAACACGATAAAATTTCACTGCAGTTTCATCTATGGGAGTTCGTGACTTGGACGGATTTTCGGTATTGCTACCATTCCATATACCTTATATATCCAGATTAGATCCGGCGGGGATCAAACCCACGACCTGATTGGTTGGAACCATGCTTATTAGCCAAACATTGCTACCATTAGACCAACGAGCCCCTCTCTAGCTCAATGGTTAATTGTTGTAGGATTCTGGGCTCGAATTCCGGGGAAACAATAAATTAATTAGCTCACTTAGCACGTATTTAATAAGCCACAAAGGAAAAAAAACTTATAAGACTTGTTTGTTCCAGCAAACAGGTAACTTAGTCAGAATGCTCTCGATGGCGACTTATCTTCTTAACATGATGGAACAGGTGTTCATTTACTGCTATGAAGGAAGTGAACTCTTAGTTGAGGTAAGAAGGCATCAAAATTAAAAGTGGTAAGAAAGAAAGTCCTATAGCTTCTAAGTAAGTAGGTAAGTCTAGTCTCTAGCTTACGTGATATAGCCTCTATACTAATATATAAAGTTGAATAATTTCGAAAATGATCTAAAAAATATTCGCAACAGCATATATCTATGTTTAAGATTAACTCGCAAGAACGACGCGACGGGAAGTGGACGACGTCGTTTGTAATAACTATAATTTATAAAGAAATTTATCATACCATAAATAACTACTCTACGAAGATGGAGTCGCTGGCACAGCTACTCCATCTTCGAAGAGTAGTTTAGACGCGAAATGTGTTAGTGAAGTTGTTTTCAATTTTTTTTAACCACTGATGGTGCTAGTGTAGCAGTCTTTAGTCCTCTTGTCACCGCCATAGTTAAAATAAATTGTAAATAGGTTACCTCAAATGAAACATGAATAATATTACCTGTATTTTTCCCCATTACCACTGCCCTCCCATCGGTCACAGCGTGGTGTGAACCTAAGGCCTCCCTCGATAAATGGTCTATCCAATATAAAAAAATATTTTTTCAATTCGAATCGAACGAAAGAAACAAAAACTTCAGCTTAATATATTATTACTATATTAGTACAGATATGTTAAAAGAAATATAACTTTAAATCTATATATAACTTAACTTTTAATAACAACAAATAACACATTTAACAATCACAATTAGCTTGTTCGTTTACAACAAATCGTACACAATTGAGCTACCCCGTTTACGGTTGACGCGATAGCTCAGTTGATTTCGTTGAACTTTTTTAATCTAAAAATATTATTCTAAATTGTGTTAAAATAATGTTTGAAGTAGCTCTGGTTTTATTTCAATTAATATTGGTTAAATACTGTCTATAGTTTACACGAGTCGTACACATTTAAATAAAACACTTTAACGGTTTAAAACGCGATATATTAGTTAAACTTAATTGAAAATGATTTTTAACTTCGGCCCGACGTTTTGGATGCTTTGCAGCAGCCGTGGTCGGCGTCGGGCCTATAGCGTATATTGCGTTTTAAACCGTTAAAGTAGGGTATATTGCGTTTTAAACCGTTAAAGTGTTTTATTTCAATTAATATCGGTTATAAATCTTTTGCAGAGTGAGAATTTATCCCGATCCGCATACGAGTTTCCGTGGTATAAATGCAGTTTGCACGTGCGCAGATCCGCGCTTATCATGATGACGCGATGTAACCGCGTCGCTAAGCTGTCCGCTGCTGGCTTTTTTACTTTGACGCTGGATACTTTCATGAGTGTAAAATATTTTCAATTGTTAAGTTTTAAACTATAGCCGTTATACATATTTTAGGGAGAATAATATACACACAAAAACAGCGTAAACTTTTTTTTATAACAGAGGTTAGACAAGGAATTCACTTGATGATAGGTGATATACTCCAGCTACATAATATCTAAACTCCATGCTTTGTCAACCTCTTTTGGCTTTGGATATTCGGAAGTCCATATCATTTTTTTCCTCTAAGTACGGAGGTTGGTAACCCGGACGGAATTTCGATATTCCTACCACCCTTTTAAATAATAATAAATAAACTTTTCTACCAAGGAGAATTCTCTATATTTTCAATATGTCACTTTTGTTAATACATATTCTATTTTGAATGGGTAAAAAATCAAAGCTGCGGACGGAACTCAAACTCATGACGACACCGTTCTGTATATTATATTTTTTCTAAATAGATTGAATAATTGGTTGAGCTATCTAGTTTATGATTGACGCGGTAGCTCAGTTGGTTCCCATAGATATCCAACCTTTATCCAACCTAAACAAATTTTTCACTCATTTGTTTCAGATGTTAAAAGTGTCATATTCCTTCTTCACTGTATTACGTCAAGTCGATGAAGAAAGTTAAATATCATTTAGCTTAAAATATTTAATTCATCATCATCATCGCCTTATTTTTTCCCACTGTTAGCTATCGGTCTTCTAAGAAACCCTTTCTCATATTTTTTTTGCTATCTATTTATTTGGCTATATATATTTATTATATTGGTTTTTGGAATATGCCGCTTTATTAGAGAGCACTGAGCATCCAACTCCCGACCTTTGTGTGTCGGGTAGGGGAGAGTGGGGTAAACGCGACCGCGGGGCAATCCCGAATTCAACGGTTCTGATGTGTTAGAAGAGATAGGCATATTTCGCTTGTCGCCATCTTGGAGATCACGCCACCACTAGTGCCAGTCAACGACCCGAGCGTTTAGCAAGAATAGTGATAGGCATCATTTGAAACTAGCTATCCCCAAATATAGGCTCCATAAAATATCTAATTCATTTGCGGGGAATTGTATTCGTATGTATAATACATTGCCAGTTGAAGTTTCAAATTTATCAATAAATAAATTTAAGAAAGTTATAAAACTTAGATTGTCTCAAAAGGCGTATTATTGTCTGAACGAATTCTTTGGCGACAAGACCGCCTGGCGGTAATATGAATTGCTCCTTAGGTTAATAAATCCACAATGTATGAGTTTATAAGACATGTTAAAAAAAGCCGGACTGAGTTTCTTGGGTGTTCTTCTCAGTTACGTTGCTGTTTAACACTCTGTAGAATCACGACGAACAGACAGACAAACAAAAAAAAATTGACGAATCTAAATATTTTTTTTAATTTTAAAGAGAATAAAGTATATTTTACTTTTATTTATTTTGATCTCAAAAACGCTATAGATGACCATTTTTGATCATCTAAAGATCGCTAGCCGCTATCGCTAGTTGCTATCGCTAGCTGCTGTCGCTAGCTGCTGTCGCTAGCTGCTGTCGCTAGCTGCTGGCGCTAGCTGCTATCGCTAGTTGCTATCGCTAGCTGCTATCGCTAGCTGCTATCGCTAGCTGGTCGCTAGTTAATAATAGATTCGCTGCCTACGAAAATTGTTGAGGGATTTAAATCAAATTTGATTCAAGCTATTTATAATCTTCTTTAAACGGTGGCCACGGCTAAGTGGTGCCCAGTATTGTGAGGTCCTGAGTTCGAATCCCAGGAAGACAATAAAATTGCTTTAGTTAGACAGGGCAGCTGCTATTGCTAGCCGCTGGCGCTAGCCGCTGTCGCTAGCCGCTGTCGCTAGCCGCTGTCGCTAGCCGCTGTCGCTAGCCGCTGTCGCTAGCCGCTGTCGCTAGCCGCTGTCGCTAGCCGCTGTCGCTAGCCGCTGTCGCTAGCCGCTGTCGCTAGCCGCTGTCGCTAGCCGCTGTCGCTAGCCGCTGTCGCTAGCCGCTGTCGCTAGCCGCTGTCGCTAGCCGCTGGCGCTAGCCGCTGGCGCTATCTGCTGTCGCTAGCCGCTGTCGCTAGCCGCTGTCGCTAGCCGCTGTCGCTAGCCGCTGTCGCTAGCCGCTGTCGCTAGCCGCTGTCGCTAGCCGCTGTCGCTATCTGCTGTCGCTATCCGCTGTCGCTAGCCGCTGTCGCTAGCTGCTGTCGCTATCCGCTGTCGCTAGCCGCTGGCGCTAGCCGCTGGCGCTAGCCGCTGGCGCTAGCCGCTGGCGCTAGCCGCTGGCGCTAGCCGCTGTCGCTAGCCGCTGTCGCTAGCCGCTGTCGCTAGCCGCTGTCGCTAGCCGCTGGCGCTAGCCGCTGGCGCTAGCCGCTGGCGCTAGCCGCTGTCGCTAGCCGCTGTCGCTAGCCGCTGTCGCTAGCTGCTGTCGCTATCTGCTGTCGCTAGCTGCTGGCGCTAGCTGCTATCGCCAGCTGGTCGCTAGTTAATAATAGATACGAAAATTGTTGAGGGATTTAAATCAAATTTGATTCAAGCTATTTATAATCTTCTTTAAACGGTGGCCACGGCTAAGTGGTGCCCAGTATTGTGAGGTCCTGAGTTCGAATCCCAGGAAGACAATAAAATTGCTTTAGTTAGACAGGGCAGCTGCTATTGCTAGCCGCTGGCGCTAGCCGCTGTCGCTAGCCGCTGTCGCTAGCCGCTGTCGCTAGCCGCTGTCGCTAGCCGCTGTCGCTAGCCGCTGTCGCTAGCCGCTGTCGCTAGCCGCTGTCGCTAGCCGCTGTCGCTAGCCGCTGGCGCTAGCCGCTGGCGCTAGCCGCTGGCGCTAGCCGCTGGCGCTAGCCGCTGGCGCTAGCCGCTGGCGCTAGCCGCTGGCGCTAGCCGCTGGCGCTAGCCGCTGGCGCTAGCCGCTGGCGCTAGCCGCTGGCGCTAGCCGCTGGCGCTAGCCGCTGGCGCTAGCCGCTGTCGCTAGCCGCTGTCGCTAGCCGCTGTCGCTAGCCGCTGTCGCTAGCCGCTGCTGGCGCTAGCCGCTGGCGCTAGCCGCTGGCGCTAGCCGCTGTCGCTAGCCGCTGTCGCTAGCCGCTGTCGCTAGCCGCTGTCGCTAGCTGCTGGCGCTAGCTGCTATCGCCAGCTGGTCGCTAGTTAATAATAGATACGAAAATTGTTGAGGGATTTAAATCAAATTTGATTCAAGCTATTTATAATCTTCTTTAAACGGTGGCCACGGCTAAGTGGTGCCCAGTATTGTGAGGTCCTGAGTTCGAATCCCAGGAAGACAATAAAATTGCTTTAGTTAGACAGGGCAGCTGCTATTGCTAGCCGCTGGCGCTAGCCGCTGTCGCTAGCCGCTGTCGCTAGCCGCTGTCGCTAGCCGCTGTCGCTAGCCGCTGTCGCTAGCCGCTGTCGCTAGCCGCTGTCGCTAGCCGCTGTCGCTAGCCGCTGTCGCTAGCCGCTGTCGCTAGCCGCTGTCGCTAGCCGCTGTCGCTAGCCGCTGGCGCTAGCCGCTGGCGCTATCTGCTGTCGCTAGCCGCTGTCGCTAGCCGCTGTCGCTAGCCGCTGTCGCTAGCCGCTGTCGCTAGCCGCTGTCGCTAGCCGCTGTCGCTAGCCGCTGTCGCTATCTGCTGTCGCTATCTGCTGTCGCTAGCCGCTGTCGCTAGCTGCTGTCGCTATCTGCTGTCGCTAGCTGCTGGCGCTAGCTGCTATCGCCAGCTGGTCGCTAGTTAATAATAGATACGAAAATTGTTGAGGGATTTAAATCAAACTTGATTCAAGCATTTTAATAATCTTCTTTAAACGGTGGCCACGGCTAAGTGGTGCCCAGTATTGTGAGGTCCTGAGTTCGAATCCCAGGAAGACAATAAAATTGCTTTAGTTGGACAGGGCAGCTGCTATTGCTAGCTGCTGGCGCTAGCTGCTATCCTTAGCTGCTATCGCTAGCTGCTATCGCCAGCTGGTCGCTAGTTAATAAAAGATTCGCTGCCTACGAAAATTGTTGAGGGATTTAAATCAAACTTGATTCAAGCATTTTAATAATCTTCTTTAAACGGTGGCCACGGCTAAGTGGTGCCCAGTATTGTGAGGTCCTGAGTTCGAATCCCAGGAAGACAATAAAATTGCTTTAGTTGGACAGGGCACAGAAGTCTGCTCAACTTTTTATTTACTTCTTAATATTGTTTATTTGATTTGGTTATAATGTAAATGTTGTTTCTGAAAATACGAATGTCTGTAGGTTACGCGACTAGTTTACGAACATACTTTTAGATAAAACAATATAACGGTTTAAAACGCCATGTTTATAGGTAAACTTATTTCGAAATTATTTCGGATGCCTTGCAGCAGCTGTGGCCACGGAGAGACATAAAATAATCTCCAAATAAGTTTAACTAATATATCGCGTTTTAAACCGTTAGTTAGTGTTTTATTTAAAAGTGATAAAATTGCCAAGAACCGGTCGAAAAACATAATTTACAGACAAGCAAGAAACGGAACTCGTGGATTACATGACAAAAAGGCAATAAACTTTATTACGGCCTAACGATAAAAAAAATCGTCGAATTGCGTACTGAGAAGAACAAACTTACTCATAATTTTGGCCAAGTAAAACAGCTAGCAGGGAAATACTGGTAATACAACTACATGAAGAAACGTCGCAGCCTATCTCTGAGAACATCTGAGGCGACTGATGAAACAGTCCAGAAAACTCAGAAAATAGTGGCAGTGACAGGTGAGAAGCAAGTCGGTATGGCAACGAGTGCCGAAAGAGGATCTACAACAACAGTGGTTTGTGCATTTAAAAGAATGCACATGCATCCACTATTAAAGGTAACATGGCTGGAGCTGTGTCGGATTCTGGATGGACAAATGAAAGCCTTTTTGTTGATTGGCTACACCACTTCATTTCATATGCAAAGCCTTCAAATCCAGTGTTGCTCATATTCGATAACCAGGAAAGGCACATTAGTCCTGACTTTACAGTTTTTTTGACTTTTGCACACGCCTCACATAGACTCCAACCTTTGGACTTAACATATTTTGGCCTCATCAAGACAGCATACAACCGAGAATGCGAGAAACACATGGCAGATCGATTGTGACGCAAAGCACAATTATAACATTATAAACGGTTTAAACCGTGAAATATTAGTTATTTCTATATTTAACTTTATAACCAACGTTTCAGATGTGAATTAAACCGTCGGGTGTGAATTAAATCAACACATTTCGCGTTTTAAACAGTTAAAATGCCCAAATAGTATATATTACGTAGTATTAAATAAAAAACAGGTATATTATGCATCATTTTATTATCCTTATTACACACGGTAAAACATTAAATATATAATAATAAATACAATTACTGTAGTTCAAACAAAATATACAACACAAAAATGGCACCTTAATGCATTTGTTTATAGCGACATCTAGTGGTAGAATAGCGACAACCTCGAACCCGTAAAACAAGTGAAAATACACTCTCACGCTTAGTGTATTTTTTCTAACTTGGCATATAGCCATAACAAGCATTGCTGATTTCAAGCTATAGAGAACTAGTGATGGCCTTTTATAGAGGGAAGTTGTTGCCACAGATGACACATGGATAGAGAAATATCGAGTATATATGGACGAAACGGCCTCAATATTCAAAATCACTTGTATGACGATCTTTCGTTGATTTTTTGTAATTATTATTTAACAAGAAGTTTATAATGTTTTTCAGCGTGCGTGAGTGGAACTTCTACCTTTATTGTCGATGACTTCGCTTACATCCCATCCTTATGTAAATGTCAAATGAAAGAAATTTTAGTCTGTGCATTTTTAGGATTCTTATTGAGTAATGAAATAGTGGTTTTAACTAAGTGAATTTGAGTTATGTAATTAGTTAAATATATAAGCCAGTGTCTCAAGGTGTTTTAGTGTAAATTAATGTAAACTTTGTGAGAATCACAATTTCACGTAAATTGTGTTTGTTTAAAAATGCCAAGTTAGAAAAAATACACTATACGACTTAATGTCGATATTTCGATGATTTATTTACTACTCGTGGCAAAGACAACGCTTTGATTGGTGTCAGTACGTATAGAAAACCTTAAACTGCGACGTAGGTCTTACGCTTTTGTGCACTAAAAGCCTAGATTACATTAAATACTTAAATTAATACAATAGCTCAAAGGATTGTCAGCGTGGTCAAAATATATCCTAATCGCAATACATTTAATTAGAACACTTTCAACGGTTTAATACGCGAAATGCATTAAACTTTACAAATCATTTTATTACTTTGATTTTGACATGACAGAGACATCCATCTTTAGTCTTCCCGTGATTACGGCTGCTGCAACGGGACGTCGGTCCTCAGTTAAAATAGATTATAAATAAGTTAATATATTTCGCGTTTTAAACCGTTAAACGTGTTTCATAATATAACATAAAGGACAAGTTGTCAGAATTGTTAGCGTGGTCAAAATATTAATTGAAAAACAGGTACAATACCACCGAAGTCTTAAATAAATATTTGTCACACACATTTTAATTAAAACAATTTCAACGGCTTAAAAAGCGAAATTTATTAGTTAAACGAATTATTATATTACTTTGTCTTTAGAGACACTATCCTTCTTTAGTCTGTCCATTATCTACTGCTGCAAAGCATCATGAACGTTGGGCCGTAATTAAAATACATAGATTATAAGTTAAATATATATCGAGTTTTAAACCGTTAAAAGTGTTTTATTTAAATGTGTACTACTCGCGTAAACTACAGATTGTATATGAACCCGTGTTTTATCTTATCTCGTTTAATGGGCCCAACTGTTTATTTCCATTGGGTCAAAAGTATTAAAGCTTACAATGCGTTCCTTTCCTAGGAATGTTAAGAGCCGGTTGAGGGTGTGGATAGAGTCTTCGCCGGCATTTGAACTCGACAAGATCTGTTATTTGAACCGGCTGAAAAAAGAATTAATATATTATATATAAATATATTTTTTTTATTTATTAAATAAAGTGATTAGAGCTTTCGACTGCAGACTAAAACTTAAATGCCCTATTTTTTATGAAAGCGGAGGACTGGCAAGCGTGGCGTCCACTTGCTGGAAGATAAGACACCTCAGGCGTCTTAATATGTTGCGCTGTCCGCCTATTTTGGCTTTGGATATTAAGAAGTCCACAGACTGAAACGAAACGTGATTAATCTCACAGCTCTTCTCTGCGGACTGTGGTTCGAGACCCAGATGGAACTTCAATATTCCTACCACCCAATAAATCCAGATTACCAGACGAAGTCCAAAATGTTTCAGAGATAAAAAAATATTAGAAAAATATTTGGGATCGCCACCAATTCGATTGCTACCAATAAACCAACAATTAACAAATAAATATACTCACTTTTGCTTCCGGGCCCTTTGTCTGTTCATTTGGTTCCTCCGGCGTGTCTGTAGATTCTTCTGCCTGTTTGCCCGCACCGCCCTCGGCGACAGACACAACGTGTACAGACAACTTACGAAGCACTTTCGACGATGAGTTTATATGTTTCTGGGGAATTAAGTTTATAATAAATTTAACATAAAAATATGAGGTAAATGGGAGTGCCCATTTCAGGCAGACATCGCTGTAATCAAACACAATAGTAGACTTTTAGATATGTTAATTCGTAATGAATCATCATTCAAACCGTTAAAATAGTGTTAAGCCTTTTTTCAACAAAATGTTTTTTAAATCTAAATTTATTTTAAATTTATATAATAATGTGAAAAATGGTAATATGTGTAGTGTATTTTTTCAAACTTGGCATTTTTTGTAAACAAACACACAATTAACAAGAAATCGTGATATTTTCACTAGGATTACATTAATTTGCACTAAAAACACTTTGAGGCACTTTCGCTGAGTAAAACCACAATTCCATGCAGAAAATTAATCAAAATCTTGTTATGAAATACTGTCTATAGTTTACGCGAGTAGTACACATTTAAATAAAACACTTAACGGTTTCCCCGTGGTCTCCCCGTGACCACGGCTGCTGCAAAGCATCCGAAACGTCAGGCCGAAGTTAAAAATCATATCCAAATAAGTTTAACTAATATATCGCGTTTTAAACCGTTAAAGTGTTTTATTTAAATCTTGTTATGAATTCACGCAAAAGCACAGATTAAAGTTTCTCTAGTTTAAAATTTAAATAGGGATGGGATGTAAGCAAAGTCAACGACAATAGAGGGTAAAAGTCCCGTTCAAGCACGATTACAATATAAATTGTACATGGACCATATATACAATGGATATTTCTTTATTCCTGTGCCATCTGTGGCAACAATTTCACTTCACAAAAGGTCATCACTAGTTTATCTTTTACTCTACGGTTTGAAATCGGCCATCTTTGTTGTGATCTTTTGCCAAGTTAGAAAAAATACACTATAGATAGATATTGGAAAACCATTTTAATTTGACGTAGATTACAATACTTACCTTATAGAATTCTATCAATTCTTGCTTAGTGACAGTGTTGAGTTCTTCAACCTCGACGCGCGCCCGATCGAAGTTGTACATCTATAAAAGAGAGAGACAGAGATAAGAACAAAAAGAGAAAGAAATTGAAAAGACAGTAAAGCTTGGTTTTTCGATGCGATTTTAAGAAATCAATCTCGACGTTTTATCATCACCTGTAGATATCATCATCAAGATTTATTATGCTTTATTTGCATATTGGTTTGAAATATGTTGGAGTTCTGGAAATTTGGATGTTAGTAGTGTCAAAATTCCGTCCGAGACACAAAACACCATACACAGATGAAAAGGCCGTTAAGCGTAAGCGTTTCGGCTTCAGTCTGATGATTTCCGGATATCCAAAGCCAAAAAGGTCGACAGCATATCGTATTAGATGAAGTATATTGTGCCGTGCTTGTCCGTACTCCTCCATCATAAAATATTTAATGATCAAGGGAACATTAGCTCAACGTAACAGCACGCTGGTCATAAAACAGTTTTAAATGTTTAAAACGCGAGTTAAAATAGTAAAATAATTTAAAACTATATTTTGCGTTTTAAACAGTTTAGTTAAGTACTACTCGCGTAAACAAGACTGCTCTTATCTTTTATTAATAAGAGAACCGTGAGGCGAGACTAGTTTTAACGAAAAGGCAAAGTACCAGGATCGAATAAATGGTGAGAGCTATACCTGTGACGTAATTTCCCCCCACACCCGGCTCGCCTTGCCCGTCATACGCTTCGGCCGCTCCAACATCTCTGCAGCAAGCGAGGACCGGTGCTTCATGAACTCCTCGTCTGTCATTTTGTCCAGGTACTCCTGAAGGCAAAAATTAGAGATTTCATAAGTCTTACTAATTGGGTTGTTTTAAAAGTATGTATTCTTTCTTGTTTGTCTGAGTGGCACAATAGTTAAACGTCCTAGGTTTGAACCCCAGAGAAAGTGTTACAGCGAGGGTCTGGATTTCTAGAAGCCAACCTCGCATCATGGACCACGTCAATTATAATTATATTTAAGTAAAAGACTTTCAACAATAAATCGTGAACATATTGGTTACTTTTTAATTATTTTTACGATGACGGGGCCGTGGTCACGGAGGACTGAATATGGAGGGCGTCACTAACGTCAAAGTCATATCTACTACGCTAACGCCATCTGTTTCGTCGTAATTAGTATTTAGAACTATTTCTAGAGATCAGGGACACCCTCAATCTTCAGTATCCCGAGGCTGTTGGAAAGCATGCGAAACATCGGGTTAGTATAAAATAAGTTACTATAAATCGCGTATTAAACCGTTATTTTTTTATTTACTATTCGCGTAAACTATTTTAGATTCAAATAAGATCCATACATATTAGTACGATATTGGCAGGAAAGCTGTCGAAAAATCGACTTTATCTTTTCAGAATAAATGTGGCCGCTAGAGGCAGAGTAGCCTATTTACAAATTCATAGTCGCCTAAGTTAATTGCGCATTTTTATTTCCCTCCTTATTGAAAATCATGTTTTGTTATTAGGCCACTCTGCCTCTAGCAGCCTCAAATGTTTTATTATCTAATGTTACCTGAGCGGAGTCAAGGAAGGAATGTATGCGGGTGTCCAGGTACGCCGGATGCCTGTCACTCTGCACCAACACACGGAACCCTTGAGTTCCACCAGCTCGTCTTAGTCCACTGAAAACGATGTATCCAAGCTGTTCCTGAAATAATAGAGCGGGGAAAACTACTTAAGTGGTATTTTATAATACAACACTATTTAACGGTTTTAAAGGTTAAAAATTGTTTTAATTCATATTTGGATGTAACTACGAGATAGATAGCGCAGGCGTAGCAGATTTGACCTTGACGTAAGTTCATCTTCAGTCCCCCCGTGACGCAGTCTGCTGCAAAGCATCCGAAACGGCAGACCATAGTAACTAAAAGTTCTAAACATATATTTGTTCGCGTTTCAAACCATTAAAAGTGTTTTATTTTACTTTCACTCGCGTTAACAAAAGACGGTATTCAATTTTTATTATTAAACTAACAATTACGCGTTACAAACCGTTAAAAGTGTTTTATTTTACTTTCACTCGCGTTAACAAAAGACGGTATTCAATTTTTATTGTTAAACTAATAATTACGCGTTTTGAACCGTTAAAAGTGTTTTATTTTACTTTCACTCGCGTTAACAAAAGACGGTATTCAATTTTTATTGTTAAACGAATAATTTCGCGTTTTGAACCGTTAAAAGTGTTTTATTTTACTTTCACTCGCGTTAACAAAAGACGGTACTCAATTTTTATTGTTAAACTAACAATTACGCGTTTCAAATCGTTAAAAGTGTTTTATTTTACTTTCACTCGCGTTAACAAAAGACGGTACTCAATTTTTATTGTTAAACTAACAATTACGCGTTACAAACCGTTAAAAGTGTTTTATTTTACTTTCACTCGCGTTAACAAAAGACGGTATTCAATTTTTATTGTTAAACGAATAATTTCGCGTTTTGAACCGTTAAAAGTGTTTTATTTTACTTTCACTCGCGTTAACAAAAGACGGTACTCAATTTTCATTGTCAAACTAACAATTACGCGTTTCAAACCGTTAAAAGTGTTTTATTTTACTTTCACTCGCGTTAACAAAAGACGGTACTCAATTTTTATTGTTAAACTAATAATTACGCGTTTTAAACCGTTAAAAGTGTTTTATTTTACTTTCACTCGCGTTAACAAAAGACGGTATTCGATTTTTATTGTTAAACGAATAATTTCGCGTTTTAAACCGGTAAGTGTTTCACTGGCTATCCCCAAATATAGGCTCCATAAAATATCTAATTCATTTGCGGGGAATTGTATTCGTATGTATAATATCAATAAATAACTTGGATTGTCTCAAAAGGCGTATTATTGTCTGAACGATTTGTTTAATGACAAGACCGCCTGGCAGTAACAGGAATTGCTCCTTAGCTCAATAAATTTACAATCTATTACTTTAAAAGACATGTTAAAAAAAGCCAGACTGAGTTTCTTGGGTGTTCTTCGCAGTCATGTTGCTCTTTGGAACAACCTGTAGATTCACGAGAAACAGACAGACAAACAAAAAAATTTTTGACGAATCTAAATAATTTTTCAATTTTAAAGAGGATAAAGTATATTTTATTTTCTTTCACTGGCGTCAACAGATATATGATTTCCCCCCTACCTGCGTCCTTAATACGTGGAAGCACGGTTCTGTCAGCGTATGCGCAAGCAACTCTAGGACGACGTTTGCGCGCGTCTCGCGAAGGCCACACGCGTAGTAGACGGAAGCGCACGACGACTTGTGCACTTTGTTCTCGCATTCACGAAGGTACCAGGAGCCTATAAAATTGAGAAGGTACTTTTAGTAATCTTATTATAGTGGTTAAATAAAACACTTTAACGGTTTAAAACGCGATATATTAGTTAAACTTCTTTGAAAATTATTTTTAACTACGGCCCGACGTTTCGGATGCTTTGCAGCAGCCGTGGTCACGGGGAGCCTCTTTAGTCTGGAGGATGTCTCAGACGTTAAAGTAAAAAATCGCTACGCAAGCGCCATCTGTTCGAAACGTCGGGCCGAAGTTAAAAATAATTTTCAAATAAGTTTAACTAATATATCGCGTTTTAAACCGTTAAAGTGTTTTATTTACATGTACTACTCGCGTTAACTACTTACGCGTATTTTATTATAGTGTGATTTTTCTTCTAGGTTTCCTTTTTAGTGCAAAACGTAAAAATAGTAAAAAAATTTAATTTCCGTCCACGCGCGATCACGCCACCATTAACAGATGAAAAGGGCGTTTCGTTTTTTTTGTTTTTGACCTATTTCGCGGCTTTTTCGTCTGTGGACGGTGATTCGTGACCCGTACTGAATTAAAATTGCTCCCCCCCCCCCCTACGAAGTAATTGCACTGGTAATTACTCACCTTTATCAAGTTCCACTTCTCTATTTAACGCCAACTGCTGAGCAAGCAAGGGCACAGCGTCCTTCGGTATTCTGAAACGTATATTCACGTGTAACTTAAAAACACGACGGTTTAAAACATGACATATATAAATAATATAAACAATGATTTCAATAAATATTGAATCAAATTAGAGCAAACAAAATAATCTCACTATTTCTGTAACATACGAATAAATAAATCAAAAGAACTTCAGAACCGTCTACAGAACAACAACGAACCGATATCGATGAAATTTTGCATAAAGATTTTATCTGTTTTAAAGTTTAAACACAAAAATACAAACTACGAGGTCCAGGGTTCGCATCTCGAGTCGGGTAAAATCATAGTCCGGTATTTGGAAACTTGCAAACAAAATTTTTGGTACCACCCTGGACTTTGGCATTCATGAATCAGCATTCATCCATCAGTCCCAGTTATCACCGCGAATTTGGTGCCGGTATTTGTCGAACCAACCAACCACCTTGGGTACGGTGTGATGGGACTTTAGACACCTGTTCCCAGCAGTGGGACTTTCAGTGGTAACAAGTAATTTCTTTCATGGTCACTTCGATATCACCTAAGATTTCCAAGAATCTTGTCATTTAAATTAAACACCTCAGTAAAATTACCACCCAGACGAAAAGGGGGGGGAAGGGGGAAGGGGGAACGGGGGGAAGGGGGGGTCCTTTACCCAAAAGTTAGTAATTCTGTCTCTTACTTGCTCTCAACAGAATCCGCGAGCTTCAGAGCTCTTTCGCGTCTCATGTTCCCGAAAACGAGACCTTCCACGTGCATAGACCGACACACGCGTGTAACAAAGTCATCCAGCATCTCGGGAGTAACATCTAAACATACATACACACATCAACAAGTTGACATATAAACACACATAATTAATAATGTGTGTATGGTGACGTGTGATGACGTCATTGTCTTATAGTGTATTTTTCCTACTTGGCATTTTTTGTAAACAAACACACAATTTACATGAAATCGTGATTTTCTTACATGATTTACAAAAAAAAACACATTTTGAGACGCTGGATATTATATGAAACTAATGGACTCATGTTGACATAAGGATGGGATGTAAGCAAAGTCAACATATATGTAATAAAAGGTCTAGGAAGTCCCACTCATGCACGATCGCTGAAAAGCCTTAAAATATATATCGCGTTTAAACCGTTAAAGTGTTTTATTTAAATCCACTTCACTTTTTAAAAGGTCATCACTATTTCTCTATGGTTCGAAGTCGTCCATATTTGTTACGGTCTTTTGCCTTTTTATTTTTGTTTTAATTAACTACTAGCTGTGCCCGCGGCTTCGTTCGCGTGGAATAGTATCTTGGGGTAGAATTTTTAACTATTTTGGCTGTTTATTAATTAATGTAATCGCGCATTTATCGCAGCCAAACTATATTGTAAGTGCTACTTTGCCGCAACACTCTCACCTCACATCACTCCTACTCTAACTCCCACTCCTATTCCTAAAGAAGAAAGTTTCATTGTTCTAGCTTTCAAAAAAGCTTCTAGCCATAGCCCTTCCGCAATAGTATGCCTATGTCCTTTCTCAAGGTCTAGACCATCTGTGTACCAAATTTCATTCAAATCCTTTCAGTAGTTTTGGCGTGAAAGAGTAACAGACAGACAGACAGAGTTACTTTCGCATTTATAATATAAGTAGGGATAAATTAAAGATCTTTTTGGAATGAAAGATCGTTACGACACCTAGCTAATATAGTTTTAATATTAACTAAACAACATATTAGGTTTAAAATGGTGACGTCATCAACTTCGAATGTACTTACTTTTAGCAGCTTCCAGCAGTTCGCAACGAGTCCACACTTCTGTGGACAGACACAGTGCTTGTTGGTAGACGGCGTGCTAGAAGATTACATACCATTCAATATAAAAGAGAAGTAAAGAAAAAGATAAAAGAAAAAACATATTTTGTCTATATTATTTTTCAACTATACATAATAAATACAATATATAAAACAGGTTTAAAGGAGTAAATTTTTAATTTGAAATTGGAAACTAGACTATCATAACGCGTTACGTAACGTAGAGATTCACCCACCCATTTAAACATGATCTCAACATTATGGTATAAGATAAACCGAAGTCAAAACGGGGTTGAACTCCACGGCTATTCCATCTGTAGGGAATGCCAGATTTCCAGAAAAATTATAAATTTATTGGAAAAACCTTCGACCCGACTTCATGGTCCCGGGAACCCCGGGGTCCCAATATATTTTCGGCTTTAAACCGTTAAGAGCGTTTCAATTAAAAAAATCATAAATGTTTTCGATTTACAATTTTTGCTTGCTATAATGGAAATGTTCTATCATCACTAAGAATTGTCTTTTAATAGTGATGTTCTGACCTGGTAGGGTTGTTCCGCTTCGAAGTTCTTCAGCGCACGTATATGGTTCTCCTTCATGATCTCGAACCGGGCTGGATCCGTCCGGAACTGCATCACAGACTCGACTATTTTGTCCAGCAGGACCCCCTGCTTGTCATCGTAGCCGTCGATCGACACCTGCAATGGGATTAACAATCGATACCTGTATATATAGTTTACGCGAGTCGTACACATTGAAATAAAACACTTTAACGGTTTAAAACGCGATATATTAGTTAAACTTATTTGAAAATGATTTTTAACTTCTGTCTCGCCGCGACCACGGCTGCTGCAAAGCATCCGAAGCGTCGGGCCGAAGTTAAAAATCATTTTCAAATAAGTTTAACTAATATATCGCGTTTTAAACCGTTAAAGTGTTTTATTTAAAAGAGAAGAAACTTACTTAAAAAAGAAGAATCTTCTAAATTCAATAACAAATTTAATTTTCGAAATCGAAAAAATTCTAGAAGGAAAAATACACAATTAGACGTACATTGATAGCGTGTTTAGCGTTTCCGATATTCCATCGCAGCGAAGCCAATTCTGCTGCATACGCGAACTGCTGCAGCGAGTCCCTTAGCAGCACGACCCACAGTGACGTCAGATTGCAGTTAAGCGGCGAGCTGTACGCGAGCGGGCTAGAAAAATACAGCGTACATTAAAATCTCCATGGCTCAATGGATAAACGGATGGCACTAAGCGGGAGAGGTATTGGGTTCGAATCCAGGGAAAAATAGTTCCGTATTTTTGTCTCTACCAAACAATGATTAGACTTAGAACCATAGATAATATAAAATGTAATACCATAGATAAAATATTAAAATGTAAATAAGAGATAAGAAAAGATGGAACGAGCGGGATTCGAACCTACAATACATTTTTTAAAGCGTAGCGATGGTTAAACTTTTACAAGTACCAGGCATACATAAAGTACAGACACTGTCTATAGTTTACGCGAGTAGTACACATTTAAATAAAACACTTTATTTATCGCGTTTTAAACCGTTAAAGTGTTTTATTTAAAAGTACAGACAGTTTAATTTGTTTTACCTTACTTTATGAAATACATTTCAGAGCTGTCTTCGATGGCCTTTTTTTATTTAGTGAGTACATTATGATATAAGTGCGGTTGAAAATTACAGCCGAAGCGATATTACTATAAGAAAGCAGAGGCTGTCATTTTCTAAGCGGACGTATGTCATACGACGTTTTGTAACATATTTACGAGGAATTTCATCACTACTTGACGACATTTTCCAATAAAAAACAATACAGCGAAAAGAAAAAGCGCGCGGAATTATTTTTACTTGTCCACAAATAAGCGATGCGCGCGCATGAACGTTTTTTTTTAGGCAAAGGTACAAAAACAGCCAGTATTACTAATAAAGTAAATTAATATTTTTGTTACAGATAAAAGGTTATAATTTATTGTCAAAATTAATTAAATTAAAGAATTAAATGTTTATTTGTTATATTTATTTTCCCAAAGTTAATTTTATTCATAAAATATTGACCGCTTTCTTGACATAAAACCTCTTTGCTAAGAAAAAAAAAACACGTGCCTTTTACATTACATTATCGCACAAGTACGTAATGAGATACATTCCGATATTGAAATTGGTGTAATTACAACCACTTTGCGAGCAAATATGTTATAAAATATATTTGCTCTCTTACGCATCGTCGTAATTAACAAGAGGGATTCGACAACATTTTTTTCTTTAGAGTAGATAGGGCGGTTAAGCTTTGAAGAGTACCAGGCATATATAAAATACATACAGTTTGATTTGTATCACCTTTTATCAATTATAAGACAATAAATACAGACACAGACTAGTATCTGTGCCTTTTCTTGTTTTAATTTACGGAGCACACAACTTTGTTATCTTTAGTGTATAATTATTTTAAAAAAATGTTTTCTTTTATCTCACCTTACAAAATCCAACGTCACGAACGCCTTTGGCAGTTGGAACTCGTTATCCCGCTTAAACCATATACGCATAAGTGGTGTATCCTGGGAATATTTAATAAAAAAAAACACGTTTAATTTAGAATATAAAACATCACGCTGCGATTAATAGGAGCGAAGAAAAAAAGGAGAAAAAACAGGGAAAAGTAATCAACCTTGTGGGTGATCGTTGCGTACTCCACGAATACGGTTCAAGATATCAAAAAATTATGTATGAAAACATGATTCCTCTTCAAATGATCTACGAAAAAACTCCAACAACTTATGTCTATCTTGTAAGATTAACTTGCAGGAACGGCGGGACGCGGACGAAGTCGCCGACGCAGGCTAGTATATAATAATTATCAGTTACCGAACTAATTAATACCGCGTTTTAAACCGTTAAGTTTTGTAAACACAAACCGTAAGCTTCTACAAATTGATAGGTTCCTAGTACTTTACCTTAATTATAACCGGCGCGATGGCATCTGTCGTACTATCGGGTTCCGTTTCAAGGTCGAGGCGGGTGGGGATGAACTCGTTGGAGGGTGGTAAATGTAGTTCTGGACTGCTCTTCACCGACCGCCACACCTGGCAAGGAGAGTTATGGTTTCCCTTCAAAAACCACTAAGGTATTTTTATTCACCAGCTGACCCGGCTTTGTCTCACTTTAGATAAGATTAGGCACATATAAAAAAAAATATATTAGACTCAAACTAAAATTACCTTCAACTGTTCTTCGGAGATGTCTTCCTGCATAAACTTAGTGCCATACCACGGTTCCGTCTCTTTGCACTTGTCCCCGAAACATCTGAAGTAGGTATATTATAAATATAGCCACAATAGTCAACATACTAATATTTGAGTAAGAGAGTTTGTTTGAACGCGCTAATCTTAGGAGCTGATGGTTCTAATCAAAAAATCTTTGGGTATTGGTTAGGGCTTTATCGAGGGAGGCTTGGGATACAACAACAAGCTGAGCAAGCGATAAATAGGAACAAGCAATAGAATTTTAGAAAAACGGGGAAAATCATTTATCATTCAGGGTTTTCGATGCGTGCGCTACGAAAACGGTTTAAGATAGCCAAGAAATATATATAAAAGAATGATTCCTCTTTAAATGATCTAAAAATATGTCCGCGACCGTATATGGCTATCTTTTAAGACTAACTAGCAAGAACGACGGGACACAGACGACGTCGAGCTATTATCCATAAAGGTGAGGAGGTTTGCAAAAAAAACAGTTTAACGGTTTAAAACGCGATATATTAGTTAAACTTATTTGAAAATGATTTTTAACTTCAGCCCGACGTTTCGGATGCTTTGCAGCAACCGTGGTCAGAAGGAAATGATTTTTAAAAATAAGTTTAATATATCGCGTTTTAAACCTTTAAAGTGTTTTATTTAAATGTGTACTACTCGCGTAAACTTTATAAAGTCTTAAAAAAAAATTTTGATGGCCAAAATAACTACTCTTCGCAGGCGATGTCGCACTGTTAGTCAAAAGATAATTCCTAATTCTCTGCAGAAGTTCGTTTATGGATATCGAATTTGTTGGTCCCGAGAGTAAACTGGACGTTTGCTTGTCTGCTCTCTCTCTCATACTTAGCAGTAAATCTTGAATCTAAGCAAATTTAAACACTAACTTGGCTATAACGGCGAGTCTGACCCGTTCTGGTGTAAGAAGGTCCAACATCTCCTGGACGAGGTCTGGCCTCCACTCCGACAGCAGGTAGTACGCGCTCAACACGTCTTCCATCGGGAACTCCTGGTGACAAAATGACTCAAATCATTACCGAGACTTCTTTATCAAAATACTTGATGAAAAAAATCGACAATATTTATTTAATCTGTGGGTGTTGTTGTGTTGCGTGTGGTTGTGTTAAGGTTCAAACGTTTTGTATAATCTGCATTTAAAAAGAATGGCGCCAATTTGACATCATCAACGTGATGTACGTTTAATATGGCGGTTATCTGTCACAAGAACTGTCCGTAAGACAAATTTAATTATCTTTTATTCATCATGACGCAAATCTAAATTAAAATAAAACATTTTCGCGGTTTAATCAAATGAATCTAAGTTTACACTTATAGATCGCGCCACGGATGTTGAGCGCTGAACGAAGTGTAGATGGGATAGTTACCCGTCTGTACAATCGCGCACGTAATTGATTAGAAACGTCATTGTATTCGTATTGATCCGAGAAAGACAACACGACTGGCGAACCAATCAACGCTAGCGCACATGACGTCCACTCGCCCCGCGCCCGCTTCCGTCCCTTCGATACCTTATTTTTGACTTCTGCGCAGAATTCTTTCACTTAAGATGCACGCCGCTACGTAGACGGGCGTGGAACGAACGAGAGGAATTGGCAAAAAACTCGCCGCCACTTATATCGCTAAATTTTCGATACAAGTTCCTTACGCACTTAATGAGTACTAATCTTATTCTTTATAAGAGCGGTTTCCTCCAAACCCTGAGCATTGTTTTCATTTATATATTGATTTACAATAACCTCTTTTAAGCTGTTTTTGTTCAACATAAAATTTAAACAGTGTTTGCACTTCACTACGGATTTCATTAAAATATCGTATGCCTTGGAAATAATTACTGGACTTATAGAGCCTTTGGGTCGGCACATAAGTTCAGAGCGGTTACAAACCTAAGCGTTAGCATAAAACGATTATTTGAAGAAAAAAAAACGAACCTGCAGCTGGTGTACATATCCGTGTGCCAATGTCCGCGGCTCCAGAGTGTCCCGGAAACGGAAATCCAGCGCCAACAGTTCACGCTGCTCCTCCCAGATCCAGCGCTGCGGACCAGCTGAACGAAGCATCGCTATGTACTGTGGACATACAACACCAAATATCTATACTTATATTATAAAACTGAAGAGTTTGTTTGAATGCACTAATCTCAGGAACTACTGGTCTGAATCCAAAAATTTCGAAAATTATTAATTTTGAAGAAACTAAAAAATAGGTATGAAAGAATGGCTCTTTTTGAAACGGAGACAACTACGAAACGTCAGGCCGTAGTTAAAATAATTGTAAATAAGTTTTATACCGTAAAGTTTTAAAAAATGTTTTACTTAAATTTGTACTAGTCGTGTAAACTACGGACAGTACTTAACTATGTGTAAAGTAAGGAAAGGGTCAAAAATAAAATGGAGAAGAAAGAAGGAGAGGAAGAAGTACTAGTTGTAATAACAGGAGTATAGTTAATAGTAAGTAAGTAATCTATAGATTGTGCCCGTTATCCACCTCAAACACTTAGGCGGAGGAGAGGAAGAAAAAGAAGGCGAGGAAGAAGTAACAGTTGCAATAGAAACAGTAGTAGTAATTATAGTAAATGTTGTATTGAGAACAGTAGTTGTATAGACAATTGTGACGGTGATATCAAATAAACAGAAGAAGAAATTCTTGCTTACCTCAAAGACTGAGAAGGAGAAGGGTAAGAAAGAGAAAGAGGAGAGGAAGAGGTAGCATTTGCAATAGAGACAGTAGTAGTAATTATAGTAAATGTTGTAATGAGAACAGTAGTTGTATAGACAATTGTGACGGTGATACCAAATAAACAGAAGGAGGAATTCTTGCTTACCTCAAAGACTAAAGTGACGATGTCGTCCACGTGTTTGACACCTTCCTCGGTCAGGTCCACGCGAACGTTGAAGAAGCCGAAGCCACGAGCCCCAAGACGGCTACCACCAACCAAACTGAAAAAAGATTTTTTCAGTTTGGTCGGTGTTAAGATATGTAAATAAAAAACTTTTAACGGTTTAAAACACGACATACATTAGTTACATTTAAATGAAAATTATTCCGGATGCTTACGTAGTTGAAATAATTTTCAAATAAATGTAACTAATGTATGTCTTGTTTTAAACCGTTAAAGTGTTTTATTTACATGTTAAGATATGCTATGACTGATGATGTGAGCCTTGTGAAACATTAATTTTTAAGCTTTTGCTTTTTAGGCAATAATATTAATAACATCATTAATTAATTGACATAAATTTGAATAAAAAAGTTTTAACGGTTTAAAACGCGAAATATATAAAAAGCGAACAAAAAATTGTTTTCGCCATTTTTCTTAATTTTTATTTTGCTTTTAATTAGGTCAATAGTATTTAACATCATTGACTCATTTATGAAATTTAATGAAGCATAGTTTGTATTATTTCGCATTTCAAACCGAAGTTTGTAATACTTCACGTTTCAAACAGTTAAAAATGTTTTAATGTGCTACTCGCGTTACTATGTTTACCTGTTGCACCATCCTCGCTTCTTCAGCGCCGCCAGCAGACTTCCGGGTCCTTCGTGTCCCAGCAGGTGTGAAAGATAGTTGCCTGGCTACATACATACAAATATCACCAACATACAGTAGCATACATTTTAGTATAGTGTATTTTTTCTAACTTGGCAAAAGACCACAACAAATATGGCCGATTTCAAACCACAGATAATGATGACCTTTTATAGGGTATAGTTGTCGCCACAGATGACACAGGGATAAAGAAATATCGAGTATATATGGACTAAACGACCTCAATATTGGTAATTACATTTATGAAGACTTTTTTTAATTATTATGTCATTATTATTTAACTCGACGTTTGTAATGTTTTTTAGCGATCGAGCGTGATAGGGACTTCTACCGTTTATTGTCAATGACTTTTCTTACATCCCATCCCTATGTAAATGTCAAATTAAAGAAATTTTAATCTGTCCATTGACGTAAATTAATTATTAAGATTTTTATTAAGTTGAGGCCTGTACGGGACTGTATAGCGTACACTAAACTATATTATAACCGGTTGTCTTGATGGTTTGGAAATAAAACTACCAGTACGTTGCCGCTAACGAATATGTTGCTATGCCACGACATCCGATTGCCACGCTACTGCTACGCGCCTTTATCGTGCGCACAAAATATGGTACGGAAAGTCTAAACGGCCGCGTTAATTATTTATCAATACAATGCGAAGTCCTTGCGACGCGAACCGTGAGAGGAGCGGCGTCTATGGGCAAAGTACTCGCGATGCGTGCCGTGTCGATGTTAGAACTTAGAAGTGAACTACTTTGGCCTGCTCCCAGAGCCTTCTTTTATGGTACATTATTCCAGTCATAAGAGAGAGAAATGGGTTGCAGGTATTGAGTGTAGCGTGGGGTCGGATTCATGGGAAACAAACACTTTATTGTTTCAGAGCAAATACTTAAACTAATGCGTGACGATTTCTTACGTTTGTCAACGCTTAAACTAACGTAACTTATCCAATAACGCAGCCAATAAATTATACCTTTATCTTTATCCACTTTAGAATGTTTAATTTATTTATTTATATGCTCTCAATAATATTACTATGCTTTAAATCTAACGCGAGCTGTCCGGAACATTTTTACTACATAAATTTGAGCTATATTAATATACTAGCGGCCCTGTCCCGGCTTCGCACGGCTAGACTAGTAAATAGGTATAGATATTTAAATTATAAGCATGCTAATTAAAACGCCCATGAATCACTAAATTAGAAAAAAAAATGTATTTCGCGTCCTAGCTGTTAACGACCGTGGTCTATCTCGCTGTGTCAGGAGCCGCTGCGATTGTTCAGTGTTAGAGTCCCGTGCACGCGTTCACGAATTCCTAGCTCTATTTCCTTCAAGTGCGACGATCTTGCATTTTGTTCTGCAAGACGAACCTGAACGTTCGACGATAGAATCTCTGGCTCGCGATTGGGACGCGTACACTCTAATACTATCCAGACGATCATTTTAGGAAGAAGACTCTACAATACGACGAACTTTTGCTATGTCGTTCGAGCCCACTGCCCCCCTATCGTCGAATTAGTACATTTCGCTTTTGAAACCGTTAAACAAGTTTTAATTAGATCTACATCAACAAAAGCCACTAAGCCCGGTCTGGTCCGCACTCTAAGTACCAGGGCACAAGCAGTCACGAAGAGACTCACCCCGCTCTTATAGTGTTTCCTGTTGTCCGGGATAGGAAAGTCTATGGACAAGTTTCGAAGGTCCTTCACTGGCTCGCAGTACGCCCGCTTCCGGAGCCTGTCAGAGGGGTAAGGGTGGTCTTCCCAATATGGCGGCGTCACATCCCGGTCAACTACGCCGGAGAACAACTTGACTATTAACTCCTCCAATTCATCTAGAGATTCTGTAATCACGAAAGATTTTTAACTTTTTAATGGTTCGAAACGCGAAATATATTGCTTAGTATTTTTTTTAAACTACGACTCGACGTTTTACATGCTTTGCAGCAGCCGTTGTCACGGGGATAATAATTTCCAAATAAGTTCAACTTATATATATCGCGTTTTAGACCGGTACATTTTTGTGTAGAGATATTTAAAGAAAACACTTTTACGGTTTAAAAGGCGATATATATTAGTTAAATTTATTTTTTACTAAAACTGTGACTCGAAGTTGCTTTGCCCTTTTGTCAAATTAAAAATCTTCTAGGCTAGCGCCATCTGTTTAGTTGTAGTAGACAGCTTAATGCGAATAAGCTTTATAGGACATTTCTTGTTTTAAACCGTTAAATGTTTCATTTAAACTTTGTGTGTAAATATATTACCTTTTCCAACGACAACTAGCGCCATTATATTAGCAGAATACCACTGCTTGTGGAATTTCAACAATTCTGCGCGTACGTCGATGCCCTTTTGTTTGGGTATCGTTTCGAGGGTGTCTTTGTTACCTAAAAGAGATAATTATAAGGTAAGTATTGTACTGGCTAGACTATTAAAAAAATAATTAATATTAAATCCTAAATAGGGCATAGGCACATTACTGTGTCCGTTTCAGATCTATTTTATTTACAGACATTTTCATAAATCAGATTTTTATACTCTGCATTACTAAAACTTAACTCGACCCTAGCGACCTCTAGCGCACGAAATACTAAATAATTAATTAAATCATTGAGGTGGGTGATATGATGTTTCATTATAAAAAAAGTACGGGCTAAGTCCGAGTCGGGCGCAATAAAATCCAGTATTGTATGAGAAGAGATCTTTTCTTTTCTTTTATTTACGGTTATATAGATAGAAATGTGGAGAGGGTAGTTCAGTATTGATTACTTATTGGGTTTGGCACAAATAAAACAAGAATAGGTAATGATCGTAAGTTCGCTACCCACCGGTTCGAACTATTTCTAATACATTTATATGTTTTATTAGCATGTTGAACTTCGTTCGAAAATCCGGTGGTTGGAATATTGGTTGGACGGTAGGAATATTAAAATTTCCGTCACTTTCACGAACTGTCTTCTACAGATGAAAAGACATGAAGTTTCATCACGTTCTCGGTCTTTAGAATATCTAACTCCAAAATAGGTCGAGATCTTGTTGTGATGTTATATAGCTGTGATATTTCACCTTCCATCAAATGAGCTTCTTGCTTGTCTGTCCTTATCTACAACGAGGGAACAATACAAACACAGTCTTACCGGTTCCAAACTTGTGGTATGGATGATTTGGGTCCGCTGTACTCTTATTGAGCTGGTCCAGTCTCCAAGAGTCTGATGATCTATTCTTATCGTGTTCAGAATCAACTGCACTTAGCTCCCTTCCAGTAGCTGACTCGGTGAACAAGGGAGATACGAAGAACTGTGCGAAACTGGAAAGAAATATTATTTTTAAATAGTATAGTAGATGTTGGACAAGCATGCAGGCAAGCATTTGCTTGCAAGGAAGGCAGATATGCATGGGATACATTTCATGGAAGGTTAGTTAGCTTATTTCATGAAAGGTCACACTAACATGGGGCTCTCTTGATCGAAGGTCAAACAAGGTTAGAGGTCATTTGATAGAAGGTAAGACAGGCATGGAGCCCATGTGATGGTAGGTTAAACAAGCTCGGAGCTCACTGGATGGAAGATCGGATAACCTTGGAGCTCATTTAATAGAAGGTCAACAACCATGGAGCTCATTTGATGGAAGGTCAACAACCATGGAGCTCATTTGATGGAAGGTAAGACAAGTATAGAATCTACTTGAAGGAAGGTGTATATAACATCTAAATAAGATCGCGCCGTGGACCTACTTTATCCGTGTATATGACAGACTGAAATCGAATTCCTCCCACCCGTAGAATATTAGCCAAACAGTGAAATATACTGTATAAAAACCGCCTTACGATTTAAATACCAGATAAACAATAATTTCGGTCGGTCAGGGCATAGTCTAGATGAACTACTAGTCGCAAAAAGACGACTAGGAATGTTATATACATATGATATATATATATGAAATGATTTCTTACACTGCAAAATATACGAAATTGAAGCTTGAACCATAGCTGTTAGGGTCGAAAATTACATTAAACTAGATTTGAATATAAAATTGATTGAAAAAATTAGATGATAGTGACACAGTAGCTCATTAGTTGAGCACGGAACGCTGTGGTCGTGACTTCGAGTCCCGTGTGTCGTGCAATTTTTTCGTGTAACAAAGATTTTCAATGTATATGAGATGACTTACATATCGAGCGCTGCAGATAGATGAGGGGGCAGCACATCAAAGTAAAATGTTGTGTGATCCGCCGATGTACTTGCGTTTGATGAGCCGCCATGCTCCGATAGAAATTTACTGTATTCGTTTTCCTGTAATACATTAAAAAGTTGTCAAGGTAAGTTTCAGATAGTGTCTGTCGTTTACGCAATTAATACACATTTAAATAAAACGATTTAACGGTTTAAAAGCCGGAATATTTTATATTCGGGAAACGTCGGGCTGTAGTTAAAAAATAATTTGTACATTATTCGATTTCGCGTTTTGAACAGTTAAATTGTTTCATTTAAAAGGTAAGTTTTATTTAAAAGTGGTCTTTACAACAACAGTGCATCACAACCATTAAACAAATACTATATATATCCACATGTATATATTTAACACATGCAAAGGTGTATAAATTTAAATAAAACACTTTCAACAGTTTAAAACGCGAAATGTATTCGTTAAATTACAATCCATTTTAACTACGGCTCAACGCTTTAGATGCTTTATTAATTGTTAACTAAAATATTTTGCGCTTTAAACCGTTAATTTTTTTTTAATTTAAGTGTGTACTACTCGCGTAATCTACAGGCATTACTTATAGTATCTATATGAATTGTGTAAGGATTTCACGGCCATCGTTAGCATATCATTGTTGATTGCTCGATTGCTCGAAGAATTCTTCGAGCAATCGAGGAGTCAACATCTCCTGATGATGCCGGCCACACGTGATGGCGAAACGTCGAGAACCTCTGTTCGCTCACATAGGCCGAACAGCCCGAAAGACAATGATATGCAGAATCTATATGATTTTCGAGTTTGTCCGATATTGGGAATTGTTAATTAATGATTTTTTGACGGGCTGGTAGCAATGTACTAATAATCAACGGGTCGTGGATTCGATCCCCACCGGGTCCAACTTTTCTTTAATCGATTTATTATTTTTCTAAAACATGTCGGACTTCGTCTGGAAATCTGGATATTATATGGGTGGTAGGGAAGTTGACAGCGCATTTTGTTTAGATGCTACCTACCTATGTTCTTCTTCTTCTTCTTCTGTTCTATCATAAAAAAAAACTTACCTGTGGATACTTTTCCGTCCCTAGGAACAGCATGTGCTCACAAAAGTGAGCCAGCCCGGGTAGTTCATCTGGGTCACTTAAGTAACCTAGAAAAAATTGTAAGTACTTAAATATAGAAAATTATTTTAATAATGGCCCGACGTTTTGGATGCTTTGCATTCATTTACATTAAAAATTGATCGATTTTCAAATACTGTCGGTAGTTGACGCGAGTAGTTCACATTTAAATAAAACACTTCAACGGTTTTAATCGCGATATATATTTGTTAAACTTATTCCGAAGTAATTTGAACTACGGCCGGCTTTCCGAAAAACAGTTATTTTTTTTTCTTTAAATGTGTACTACTCGCGTAAACTACCGACAGTATTTAAAAACTGATCAATTTTTAATGTAAATGAATGCAAAGCATCCAAAACGTTGGGCCATTGTTTAAAAAATTTTCAAATAAGTTTAACTAATATTATATCGCGTTTTAAACCGTTAAAGTGTTTTATTTAAATATTAAGTACTTATCATTGCAGGTAATTTATTTAGATCAAAGTCAACGTCAAAAATAATTGATTCACGTGGGCAACTATGTACACTTATTAACGTCACAAACTAAAGAACTTAACATTTACTACCAGTTCCAATTAAGGGCGTGGAACGAACGAGAAGATATGGCAATAAACTCGCCATCACAAAGGTTTTACTTAGATAACAATTTGGAAAGAAAAGTACAAATATGTAAGTGACCCATTTTGTATTTAAGATTTTTTTATCTTATTTATTTCAATTATGTATACAAATATTTATATAGATACATGATACAAATATGGTTAAAAATCGTTTTTAGATAAATAAAATTGACGCGAGTTCGTGTTCGACCACGAACCCACAACCACAGTGTTTTAGGCTGCTGCTCGACTAAATGAACTACTATGTACAGCATATCACAATTTGTCTAAACAACAAATTCACTTATATTCTTTTCATAAATAAATAAAATAAAGTATACTTTATTCACTTTAAAATTTCAAAAATAATTTTTGAAATTTTAAAGATTCATCAAAAAATGTTTGTCTGTCTGTTTGTAGTGATTCCACAGTGTTCCAAAGAGCAACATGACCGAGAAGAACACCCAAGAAGATAGGCCAGCTTTTTTAAACATGTCTCGGCTGTCCCGACGTTTCGGCTGCTGCAAAGCATCCGAAACGTCGGGCCAAAGTTACAGATCATTTTTAAATAAGTTTAACTAATATATCGCGTTTTAAACCGTTAAAGTGTTTTATTTAAAGGTGTATTACTCGCGTAAACTATAGACAGTATTTCATTCAAAATTTTTTAAACTTATTTATTGATAAATGTGCAACCTCAACTGGCAACCTATTACGATGAAGTTATTTTAGTTATTTGAGCTTAGCTAGTATATCCTTATTTCTTATGTTCAAGTTTTTTTTACGATAAAGACTCGCTACTAAATTGATATTTAAAACTCAGCCATACAAATTAATGACATTTTATTGATATAGTTGCATGTCATGTTTATATACAATGTCCTTCGGTATAGATTCTTATCAGTCTTAAACTAGTGGATAGCGTTGTCCAATGGCTTGGATTGATAATAATCACTAATGACATAGACAAATGCTACCTTGTACGTAAAAATAAATACATATGACCGTTAAAAGTAAAAGTGATCAACGGTTTGATCCCCACCATGTCCAACATGGACTTTAGCTGAAAATCTGGATATTAAATGAGCGGTAGGGATATAGAAGTTCCGTCCGAGTCACGAACCACTCGTTTTGGTTACAGTCTGTGGATTTCCGAATATCCAAAGCCAAAATAGGTGGATAGCGCATCAGGTTTAGATGCTATAGGCTTGGGTATATTGCCTACCATCAAAGAACCCCATGCCATAAGTCTAATTTTGGTTTTAAAGAATAGACAAAAAATCTAGTTTCAAATATACACACATTATTCAGCATTTCTAAAACAGCGTGGTAGCAGACATACACAGGCAGAATTTGGACTTAAATGCTTAGCAGATTATGTGACATAAGAAAATTTAAAGTAACAAATATTTGTAGTTCAACTCTAAGTTACATAAAGATGAACTTACCAACATTTACGTCTATAGCAGCCGCAGATTTGTCTGTAGTGGGATCGCTCACTAATAATACTTTCATACGATTCGCCAACTGCAGACCCCTAGGCATAAAGCAATATGATAAACACAATTATATATAACAATATGAAAATAAGATAAGATTTTTTAATATATGTATAATATATTAACTGACCATTCTTATACAATATTTTTTTAAGAACTCTCTTCTAAAAGTAAGTAATTCTCATTAAAGAAATATATACAAGCTTCATTATATGTCATAAACAATCTAATATATAAAATTCTCGAAACAGCTTGACCGATTTTGATGAAATTTTTTGTGCCTATCCGATACCTATGAGAAACGGCCAACATCTATTTTTCATCCCTCTAAATGTTAGGGGTAGTCCACCCCTAAATTTTTTTATTTATTTTTTAGACAAAATTTTTAATTTCTGTTTTTGTATTATACAACATACAATCCTCAATTTCCTCCTCTCCGGCCGAAAACTGAAGAATCAAAACAACATTTGCAGGGTCAGCTAGTATGATATAATTAAATGATTTTATTGTAACGCAATATTCCCTTCCGACCTCTAATTTTTTAGAGTATGTAATATTAAAAATATTAAAAACCTATTTACCTGTATACACGTTTATCCTCCTGACTTTTAACTATATCCCGATACCTATGCAGCACATGATCAGCAGCGGCGATGCCTGTTCCAGGTGGAACTGCCGGGGGAGAGGCAAGTGGCGCACGAGAACACTCGCCCGGGGCTGGCATGGTGCTCTTGAAACGACGGCAGGTAAGGCTAATAGGAAATTACTTGAAATTTGTTAAATATCAGAATAGAACTTAATAAAATGTAGATAAATAAATGTATAAAGCTCTATATTAGTATTAATGATCTTTCCACGCCGACGATTGAAATCATACTATTAGTAAAACAGATGGTTTTAACAAAACACGCTAACCTATGGGGAGTAGAACGAATATTGCACGTCGGGGAAAAATTGTGGATGCCGATTATAAAGAATCTTCTAGATGCCAGCTTGATAGTAAATATTGCAAGAGTTTAAAAATAAATGTGTTATTCAATTTCTATTTATTAACTCAAACTTAATATAAATTCTTTTAATGGAAATATACTTTTAATTACGAAACCTTGAGTTTATGTTTGTGACTTAAATAAATCAAGTCATCTGGGATGACATTTGACAATCGATTGACATATGACAGTAACATTAAAAACTGAATTGTCAATACAGATTATATACCCAAACAAGGTAACTGGGTATAGAAAAGTAAGATGCAACTAAAATTTACTATTTAGTATTACTTTATTTAATTTGCTAAATTTCTTTTATTTGCTTAAGTAAAACAAAATAAAAATAGAAGTGAGAAAAGCAGTGTTTCAAATGCGACATTTCGGATTGCCAACGTCATAATGTCAATTGTCATTGGTGTAATCTAAAATCTCGAATTTGGTATAGGCCGCTTATTTTCATTGTAAATTACAAGTTGTAATTCAGTAAGAATAATAAATACACAATAACAAGTTTAATAATTTGTGAATGGATGAATGGTATTGATTGGTCCAAAGTCGCAATTAGTAAATACTGTTAAGTATTAATATAATTGGATCACCTTTTGCGGCTTTGGGCTTGGTGAATCATGTAAAATTTTGCTTATACGTCGAAATGTGAGCAGTGATGTATCAATGATAAATTCCAATCATCGTGATAATAAACCAGATACATATAGTACTAAAAGTGTGTAAAATGTCTAACAGCGCATTCATAGATCTACTCAACTTCAGTTTTCAAATAATTTTGTGCTGTTAAGTGCTAAATAGTTATATTAAAATTGTCAAGATGCCGGTAACCGAGCAGGATATTATAGAAAGATTCCCGTTGCACTGGTTGGTGTGGCACAATAACCACCAGGAATTACAAGAACGTCTCCAGAATAATGAGGTAAGAAAGATGCATTTCGTTATAAAAATATGGATAGTTCCGTTCCATCCTCCAACTTGCTATATCCAAAAGCTTAAAGTGGTAAAATATTATTATTAATAACATTTTTATTTCAATCTAATTATGAATATTTTTTATTACAAATCAGTCACTTAAATTATTTAATAATAATTTTTACACTTGTATCAAACAGTATTAATTTCTGGATATATTTTGTGTGTGTCATGTAAGAAATCAGTTTTTATGTTTCCTTTTCTTTCCATGTATACTAGACTTATATATTTTAAAACATCTTTAGTAGCCTTTAAAGGGGCGAAAATTAATTAGATCGTTTTTTGGGGAGTATGTGCTGAGCTGGCAAATGTTTATTTATTTATTTATTATACAACAATTATAATGGCAATAGCCAGTTACATTAATTAGATACACACACAATTAAACAATTACACTTAACTAACAAATACATTTAAAAATAGGTCATTACAAATTACATTAGGAGATAATTTCAAAGGCAGAATGTTGTTTTGTTACGTGAAGCATTTTGACCAAAATTTGAATAAAATAAAATATGTTTCTTATGAGTTAATTTTAAACATTACACATATACTGCTTCGGAGAATATTTTACATAATTGTTAGTAGAATAAGGCTTTCCTACATATTTTTGGAGTATCTTGGCCCGTTTTCGTAGCTCATGTTACGGAAACCCTTAAAGGTAAATAATTTTTCAGATTTCCCACTGGTTCTTTGCTCTTATTAGCTGGAGCCTGGTGTTTTATAGCCTTTCTCAATAAATGCTTGGACCTATACAATTTTTCATTCAAATAAATAAACACTTGAGTTTTATAATATTAGGAGAAGCATTAACTTAACAACAATATATTTTTTGGTACAATTAAAAAAAGTGGTTTACTATGTGAGTAGTAAGGAGTAAGTAACTAACAGACATGTGATATTTGTATTTAAAGCAGGGGGTAATAATCTTATTAAAACAGAGTGTGAAGCCCTACAGAATAGGCGTTGGCTAGAATGGGCGTAGGTTAAACTTGGATTAGGTGATTGAATATCATTAAACATTGTTCTTTAAGTCTCATTATTGACATTACATACTTAAAAGCAAAAAAATAATTCAGAAGCACAGACAAACATGAGGTTCGCTTGATGGCAGATTAAATACCACAGCCTTATAACATCTACACAGAATGATGTGTTTTGAGCTATAATGGCTTTGAAATCTTAATTAAACTACGGCTTTTTCATCTATCGATGGTGCTTTGTAAATGGAATGAACTGTTGATAGTGATACCTACCATTTAATACCAAGACAAGAACAAACTTTACCAATTGTGCTACCGAGTCCTAGGACTCGGTAGCTCAATTGGTAGAGCAACAGCACGGAACGCTGACGATGCCGGTTCAAGTCCTGCCCTAGTGGAAAATTTTTTCAATTTATTTTCGATTTTTAAATTATATAGTGCCTTCATGTGCAAAAATTAATAAAGTTTTCAAAGAACAAACATGTTTCAGATATAAAAATCGATAATAAATTGAAAAATATTTCGACTCGGGCAGGACTTGAACCGGCATCGTCAGCGTTTCGTGCTGTTGCTATACTAATTGAGCTACCGAGTCCTACACCTCATCGTCGAATTTTTTCAACCTTTTGCTACACGCACCTCTCGCGCAATATATACATATAAATAAATAATATATTAATCAATGTAAACAATATTAATAAAATCAATTATATCAATGAAATACAACATTTTAACGGTTTAAAACACGATATATATTAGCTAAACTTATGACTCCCCGTGACCATCCGAAACGTCGGGCCGAAGTCAAAAATAATTTTCAAATAAGTTTAACTAATATATCGCATTTTAAACCATTAAAGTGTTTTATTTAAAAGTATACTACTCGCGTAAACTATAGACAGTGTTTAATTATATCAATTAGTCAGTTTATAATCGGTTTTTAACTTATATAGTGCCATCATGTGCAATGACATTTGAAAATATTGAAGCTTTCATGGTCTTGATTTCTTTTTTTGTATTTGCAGTGGAACGTCGAGGACATAGAAAAGCGTGATCCCCGTGGACGGACTCCTTTACTGCTGGCTGTTACCTTAGGGCGAGTGGAGTGCACCAGAGCTCTCCTGAACGCTGGTGCCAACGTGAATTGCGATAAGGACAACTGGACCGCAGTCCACGAGGCGACAGCACGCGGCAACGCCACTCTACTATCCATGGTCCTAGCGCGAAGAGACCACGCCCGCCACGTAGCTCGCGCGCGCGGCGTCCCCGACCTCCTCCGACGTCTTAGCCTCACCCCGGACTTTTACGTCGAGCTGAAGTGGGACGTATCCTCATGGCTACCCCTGGTCACCCGCCAATGTCCATCAGACACCTACCGCGTGTACAAGCGCGGCGCGAACGTCCGTGTGGACAGCACGCTGCTCGGCTACCAGGACGACAGGTGGACGCGCGGCGACCGTACGTACATTTTCAGCGGACACGGAGATTCGGCTAAGCTAATCGAGTTGAACCACGTAGCTGGGACGGTGTGGAGCGAATGGGTGGAGGGCAGCGTCGCAGCGGACCAGTGGCCAGCGCCATCCCGGTCCATGATCTCTCGTCGCCTGCGATCACCGATCCACCTGAGCTACCTGGACACAGACAAGATTTGCTTCGAGCGCAACAAGAGCGGCATCTGGGGCTGGAGACAGGATAAGACCGAGTTGGTCAACAAATACGAGTGTAAGGTGTTTTCTGCTAACAACGTGGAGATAGTGCATAAGATGAGGATGGAGAACGTGCCCCGGGGTAAGAGGTTCGGTTACCTGCCGCCGGCGCCGATATACGGTTTCCTGCCTGCGGATTCTGACCACCCGGCTGTGCAGGTGGAACCCCCGCCCGGTGTGAACACGGGTGATGCTGAAGTGAGTTGGGAAGAGTACTTCGACGAGAGCGTGGAAGAGCCAGATATCGGTCGCTATAAAGAGGTCATAACGAAGGAGGATAAGTTCAAAGGTACTCTTTGGCTGTGCGAGGACTATCCGCTTGAGGTAAGAAGGCACTTTACATATATGACATAACATAACAACCAACAGTGCTATGTGTTAATTTATACCTAAATAATAGCTTACTGATTTAGTATTGTGTCCAGTTAATGCGAGTAGTACGAGCGAAAACTGGAGGGAGTTAGCCAACCAGTTTATCCAAATACCAACTTCGAGAAAACAGATGGTGCTAGTGTAGCAGAGTTGACTTTGACAATAGGGACACTCCATTTAAAATCCCCCGTGACCAGCTTGTGTGACAGCGGTCACGCGGTCACAAACAATAGTTAAATAAAATGCAAATTAGTTAATTGATATTTTTTTAACGTTTTAAACCGTTAAAAGTGTTTTTTTTTTAATGTGTACTACTCACGTAAACAGACAGCATATAGTTAAACTATCTCTTTCAGTTCCAGGAACAGATCATGCCGATTCTAGACCTAATAGCGTCCATGACTCCGTCTCACTTCTCGAAGCTGAGGGACTTCATCCAGATGCAGCTGCCCTCGGGCTTCCCGGTCAAGATCCAGTTCCCCCTGTTCCACATTGTGACCGCGCGTTTCACCTTCGTGAACCTCTTCGGCCAGGAGAAGAGTGTACCCCACGTGGAATGTATACAAGAAGGTTCTAGACTCACGTGTATCATAGACGACGCGTGCTTCTCCGCTGGTCGTGGATACCGTGCAGCCACCCCCCACATAGATGATAGACAGGCCTGGTACACGGATGATGATGAGGAGTTGCTGCATTATGCTATCCAGCAGAGCCTAATGGAGGCGGGTACGCAGTGCGACCAGGTACGTTCTTCAACTTTTGGTAGCACAACCCCATAATTATCTTAAGTTAGTAAAACCTAAATCTATCCTAACACATGAAGCTAAATATATGAAGAGTTTGTTTGTTTTAATGCCTTAATCTCAAGAACTACTGGTTCGAATTGAATAATTATTTTTGTGTTGGTTGGTTGGTTAGTATCTCACCAATTCTCGTGCTTAACGCAAGCTTGTCTACATATTTTAACTACTAAATCATCGATTGGAATGATATTAATTCAGATTAACATATATTTTCAGGTAGATGTCTGGGAAGCCCTCCGCGGCGCGAGACCGGCGACGCCTACGCCCCCTGCACCCCCGCCGGCCCCGCCGCAGGCGCAGGACGACCTCGTATCACAGGAACAGACTATGCTACAAAGGTAAATAAATACAGATAGAAAATTTAATTTTGCTATACAGATTATATTGGGACGTTCGAGCTCATTAATAAGTTGCTTGAGTTAAATAATTCGGCTATATGGTATAGTTAAATTATAAATATCACGTGTTTGACCGCCATATTTGTGACGTCATTGGCTTGTATTGTTATTTTGTCTTGAGTAATAACTAATTAGAGTCATAGGGGAAAGGGCGTTTGTGACGCGTATTTGTAAAGATTTTTTTTATTCTTTGTATATTGTATACAGTAGATATACCGATAATATTAATTAAATGTTTAAATAAAACACTTTAACGGTTTAAAACGCGATATATTTTCGTTAAACTTGTTTGAAAAATTTTCAGTCGATCAGCTTTTTACTTTGACGTCAGAGACATCCTCCATATAAAGTCTTCCGGTGACCGCGGCTGCTGCAAAGCATCCGAAACGTCGGGCCGTAGTTAAAAATAATTTTCAAATAAGTTTAACTAGAATATATCGAGTTTTAAACCGTTAAGGTATTTTATTTAAGTAGTAGTACACGCGTAAACTACAGACAGTATTGAATTCATTAAAAGTTTTGTGGTCTTCTGTGTTCAGTCCCCCTGTCACCATGGCTTCTGCAAAGCATTTTAAAGGTCGCGTAGTTAAAGTGGGCAAATATATTTGAATAATAGGTACAAGATAAAAATATAATTTAATATTTTCTTGTTTTATTGAAGAGCCCGACAACTAATCCTAATAGAATGATCTTTATTATGCTTGCATTTTGTGCCACAAGTCGTACAATTTTAAATAAATTATTAATATTTTATAGTAAACAAGAAAAATAAATTTAAACAGAGCACTTAACGGTTTAAAAACGATATATATGCGTCGGGTCACGTCGGGCCGTCGGTCTTTCTGAATGCATCAAAGTTTAGTGAAACATAATAATAATATACGCCCTTATTCGAATAGTATTACAGTTACAATTATTTATATTTTCGTTTATCAACAACCGGTATATACATAGGCCTCTTCCAACTGGAATGTAATATATCGCGTTTAAAACCGTTAAAAGTGTTCTATATTCTATTGTTGGCCTCTGTTATCTCCTGGAGTTTTATAGCTACTGTGTGGCGTAGGCTGTAGCGCTAGTGTGTATGTATGTATGTCTAGAGCTATCGAAGAGTCGCTAAGGACGGCGAGCGTCTGGCCTATCACGACACAGAACGACACAGTCGTCCAGAGAACGGAGAGCGAAGACGCCATCGACGGCCTTGAAGACGAGTTGAAAGCGGCCCTCGCGTTATCCGCTGCTGAGCAGCAAGCCCGCGACGCGCTGCAGCAGGACGAGCAGCGCGCGTTGGACGAAGCGCTGCGGCTGTCGCTTCTTGATAAATAAGGTATTAAGGCATCGTGGTGGGCTGATGGTGTGTTTGGTGGTTCTGGTCGGCTATTGTCTCCGCGGAGGTTGTAGTACGATTTGCCCCACTCCCCACGTCAGTTAAAAAAGAAGGTAGATTATGGCGCTGTACAAACTTCAGAATATTATGTGCTTAGGGGTGGTCCATTAATCACGTGACCTTTTTTTAGATTTTTAAACCCCCCCACCCCCATTGGTGATACGTAGTGAGGTTTAAGACCACCCCCCCCTTCTCAAAATCACGTGTATTTTTAGTACCTACGAAGAATCTTAAAATTTTCTGAATATTATCTTAATATAAATACAGGTATAAACTATAATCTTATTTTATTCTGAAATTAAGGACCATAACAAAAATGTCTACACCATTTGTTTAAAAATCGCGCGTTTGACGAAAAAAAAAAACACGAGATATCTTATTATACCCCCCCCCCATCCCCTTGTGTTATTTTCGTGATTTTTATCAAACCCCTCCCCCCCTTTCAAGCCTCACGTGATTAATGGACAACCCCTTAACAGGCTAGACTCGAACGTCCGACCAACAACTGTGTATATTTGAATGTATTTTTCACGTTTTATTGCGCATGATGGCGTTATATCGATTTTGGTTTGAAAACATTTTACGACACGGGCTAATCGTGTTTTATTTGAATGTATCCTACTCGCACAAGTTCTTAATAAATCTTTTCTTACATACAGTCTGTTTTACTCGATACTGCGGAGGTAAATACATTTAATTGGCAAGGTCGACGACGAAGGGGGAGAATTAGGTCTAGTAAAGATATATAAGGATTCACTTGATGGTTTGGCTTTGTTTTTAAGGGGGAGAGAGGGGATATTCCGGCTTCGACCTTGTTGATTTATAATCTATGTTGGGTCCGATATGGATTTTTTAAGATTTAAACTTCGCCTAGGTCGTGTCAAACAGGCTGTATAATTTCAGGGCAAGAGCGGCCAACGGAAGCGGAGGCGGTGGCGGGAGCGGAGATAGACGCGTTCAATGACGCCACACATCCAAATGTATTGATGCATTTACACTAATTTATGTGTGGGCTCCAACATTTGTATTTAGGGGAGTGCTCATTTCAGGCCACAGGTGGACAATAGACTTTAAATGAGGTGTCCTTTTAAATAAAACACTTAAGCGGTTTAAAACGCGATATATATTAGTACACGTTACAAAGCATCCGAAACGTCGAGCCGTAGTTAAAATATATTTCGAATAAGTTTAACTAATATACATCGCGTTTTAATCCGTTGAAGTGTTTTATTAAATGTGTACTACTCGCGTACTCTACAGACAGTATTTAAGATGTCCACTTTCAGCTTGGATCTCTACAGAGAGTGGCTAATTTGAACCTTTAAAAATAGCTTTTCTATTATCGGACTAGAGAAATATAATATTTTGTGTGTTGTAATAATTACGATTGTAATCATTTGTGTAAATAAAATTATTGGCCAAAAATTGTTGTAAGATATATATAAATAAACTTTTAACGGTTCACAATGCGAAATGTATTACTTATTATCGACGACCCGACGTTTTGAATTATATGCATCGTTTATGGGATCGTAGACTTAGTTTTCACAACGACCTACAGATGGCAGTGCTATAATACTTTTTTTATTATTTGGATGTACATTTGGGTGCAGAAAATGGTGAACAGTTTTCACATCAGTGTAGTTAATATTTTGCTATTTACGCGTGTAGCAATTATTTCATTAAACAATTTTAATCTTATTGCAACGTACTAAAATAGATAATTCATTATCAATAGGATCCAATATTTCTTTAAATCAGTCCGTTAAAAATGTACCTATGTGTTTATTGTTACTCAGTATATTATAATTTAATATTGTCTACAGAAAAACGTAGAATACATGAATAAAAACATTATTAACGGTTTAAAATACGGCGAAATGTGCCAGTATATTGATTTGAACCGTGTAAAAAGAGGTTTCATAGTTGACTAATATATTTCGCGTTTTAAACCATGAATTGAAGACTATTATTATTTTATTCAATTGTTTACAAACATATTATTTTTATAGCATAAAAAGGTATGATCTTATGTACTGAAATATATACCTGTAATAAATCAACTTACTTAATATACATTAAAATTTTCTGCATCCGACTGTACTTGAAAAGTGAGTAGAACGAATTTATTTTTAAACCGTTTTAGGTGCAAAATATTAAACCTCTATCTAAGTTTGATCTCTTTATATTTTAAACTAACTAAAACTTAATTTAAATATAACACTTTAACGGTTTAAAACGCGATATATTAGTTGAACTTATTTGAAAATGATTTTTAACTTCGACCCGACGTTTCGGATGCTTTGCAGCAGCCGTGGTCACGGGGAGACACCCCGTAATTCCAAACAAGTTCCAAATAAGTTTTAATAATATATCGCGTTTTAAACCGTTAAAGTGTTTTATTTAAATGTGTACTACTCGCGTAAACTATAGACAGTATCTAAAACTTAATTGTTGGTGCTCTATCTACTATTTTATGTTTTTAATATCTTAATAACCCATAGCAAAATTTTTATGGGGGTAGACAAGACAGGCATGGGATCATTTGATTGGTGGTCGAGAAGATGCGCTGTCCGCCTATTTTTGCTTTGAATTTCACACTACGATGTGTCCATCTGTTTATGGAGGGGGGAGTGGGGCCGGTCGTGACATAAAATGATTTTAAATAAATGTGGGTAGAATTCGAATCCACGATCCATTGGTAAGCCCCATTACCATGAGACCAACGAGCACTAATTATACACAAGGTATTGTCGTATTCAAATATGATATTTTTTGTCACTAACTGTAATTAAATGTACAGACTATATCTATTGTATTTTAATATTTATAAATACTTAAAGCAGGCAACACTAAGTATGACCTAATTTTTGTTTTGAAGTTAGTCTCTGGTGCGACTTAAAAGATATAATCAGTATGTCTAATAGATTTGTATATTATATGTATTTACTTATTAATGTGTTTTATTTGAATTTGTCGTCCGTAGAATCGAATCCCAGTCTCTAGGTAGCAGTGCACCGTTTAGGAAAAACGCTTGTAACGGTTTAAAATGCGATTTGTAACATGGCTACTGCGAAGCTTTCCAAACGTGGGGTCATATTTAAATAAAACACTTTAACGGTTTAAAACGCGATATATTAGTTAAACTTATTTGGAAATGATTTTTAACTTCGGCCCGACGTTTCGGATGCTTTGCAGCAGCCGTGGACACGGGGAGACTGTCAAAATCATTTCCAAATAAGTTTAACTAATATTTCGCGTTTTAAACCATTAGTGTTTTATTTAAATTTGTACTACTCGCATACACTATAGACAGTATTTAATTAACCAGTTGAGGTCATAGTTAAAAAATACTTCACGTTTTAAACCGGTAAATGTGTTTTATTTCAATGGGTTCGGAGTTTGGAAGTATGCGGTATTACCTCCATGCTGTGACTGATAGGAGCGAAGAAGCAGCGGGAAGTGTGAAAGAAACGGGGGGAAATTTTCATCTCTGTGAGTTTCTTGTGCGTAACGATGCGAAAACTGTTTGCGATACCAAAATAATATGTATCAAAGAATGATTCCTCTAAGGATCTAAAAAGATGTCCGCGACACTATATGTCTATCTTTTAATATTAACTTGGAAGAACGACGGGACGGGACGCGACCGACGTCGTTACGGCTTAAGTTTATAAAGATGAAGAGAAGGTTTGCAAAGATAAATTTGGATGGCCAAAGAAACTATTCTACGTGGACGACGTCGCTGACACAGCTAGTCCCAGATGCACAGTCACTAGCTGTGCCCGCGACTTCGTCTGCCTATAATAGTTGTTTTGCATATATTATTTGCTTTTGCAAACCAATTTCAATCTTTATATTTTTTAGTTCGTTTAAAGAGGAATCATTGTTTTTGGGTATCTTGAAACTTCACAGGGTACGCAATGGAAACTCCCAAGGGAATAATTTTCCGCATTCCCATTGTTTCTGCGCTCCTATTGGTCGCGACGTGATGTTTTATTGCCTCGGTAAATGGTGAAACCAACACAAAAATATATTGTCTAATTCGAACCAGTAGTTCCTGAGATTGGCGCGTTCAAACAAACAAACACACTCTTCATATTAGGTAGTTTCTGTATGTGTATACTTAGGTGTGGATTTTATTATTTGAATTTGATCGGTCAAAGACAGTAGACGGCTTAGAACAGAGGTGCCCAAACTTTTTTTGTGACGTAGACTCCTTGCCATGTTTCTCCGCGTTGGGTAGAACCCCCCCCCCCCCCTACTTACCTGTAATTGATTTTCTGTAAATTTCTAACTGAAGTGAAGTTGAGTGTTAAAAGCTTGAAGAACACAAGTTAATTTATAAATAAAATTTTGTATCTGGTATTGAAATTATTATAGTCGTAGCGTTACCCTTATTATTATCATTTATTATTGTAAATCTCCATCTTCAAGGTTGCCTGGAGGAAATCGCATTTTAGCGATAAGGCCGCCTTTTCTCGTTACCTTTTGAATTTTTAAATTGAGTTTTATTTTGTTACGTTGTGGTGAAAATAAAGTATTTTTTGTTTGTTTGTATATAATATTTTTTTACTTCATAGGTGCTTTTATAAATAATTTTCACACACACACACACAAATATATGCTACCATTACAGATATAATCCAATTCGACAGTATTAACACGATATAAGAAAAAATATGAAAACTAAGTTTAAAAAATTATTTTCATTACTTGTAGCAATTACGTTAAGAATAATATTCGCTATTTCACTCCAATACCCCGTGAAAATGTCAACCTTTTGGTCTACAATATTCACCACTCGTATTGTTTGCGCGATGAGCGCCCTGGCCATCAAGTTGGAATGCGCGAGAGGCACAACCAGCAACGGTGGATGATGCCGTTTTCCCACGTATCCGTCCGGCACACTGTAGTAAAGCCAGCGCAAAACAACGGCGTTATGTTCTTTACCCCGAAGAATTTTTATTACATACGTCGCCAAAGAAAATCCTCGTCTCACCCTTAATTCGCTATATCCTACCTACAACGCTACCCATGACGAACAGTGTAGGATACATAAGTGATAATTTCAAAAATATAATATAATGTATAAGTTTTGATATTACAAGATAGTATGATGCAAGTAAGTAGGTATTATCAGTTGGAACCCTATTTTTATTTCATGGACCCCCAAATTCACGTAGACCCCTTGCAGGTTGGCATAGCACCCAAAGGGTCGATATAGACCACTTTGGGAAACACTGGTTTAGAATGATACAAAACGTTATCTATGTATTTAAAATTTATTTTTCATTACTTATATACAAATTACAACATTCACTATTATAATAGATATCAGTTGACCTATATTTACACATGTAATACACTTTAAAAGCGTCATTTCATTAATTCAAGTTAATAAATTACACGAGGAAACTTCTGGAATAGTGAGGACAAAGGCCGCGCACACACGCGCGCTAGAGAATTCGGAATAGAAAAATTGGAAATGTACACTAGAAACGTTAACAACACCGATAAATTGATGCGCTATACACAATATTAGAGGGCGCGCGTGTGCGCCGGCGCACACCGGCTCGCCCGTAGTCTTTCCTTAATCTAAATACATTCCCAAGGAAAAAAATTAACGTGAACAATAATTATGTATAATCATCCAAAACTTAAAACGTAACGAAATAAATATTTTCCATTTAAATATTAGAGGTGGCGTCGCGTTCGCTCGCCGTTTGGGAACTTAGTACGAGTTTAAAATTGACAATAAAACTCGTACTAGGTGTCTATAAGCTTGCGCCCGCGCATCCGACCGCTCGCTTCTATAGAACTGAGTTGCACCATACATTTAACACGTATTAGGTATTAAATGACTGGAATATTAACTCAAGAGAATTTGGGCGACATTTGTGACGTCATCGTCGTACCGCCTGCGCCCGCGAACAAAGGCGTATTGCACATACGTTCACTTTAACTAACTAAGACTGAGTTATCTCAGTCAAAAGATGTACACTGGTGTGGGTGTACCATTGCAACTTAGGTCTAAGAGTAACTCGTAACAGATAGTAGGAAATAAATAAAACAACAATGTGCCCGGTGTGGTAGACTAGCTTAAAGCTATTTGACAACTGCGCTGGCGCATTCGGTTTTTAGTCATTACGATTGCACTTAGAACCCCGCGGCGGCCCTGTCAATTTAAATACGACGTCGGTTCGCTTTACCCTTGAACCGATCCGACTCAATATGTCTATCTACTTGAAATAACGACCACAGACCAGTATGCCATGAACAAACGTGTAAGAGAAACTGTCCACAAGAACTTTTTACTATACACCTATCAAACTTAAATAGAAAATAAATTTATTACCTAAGATTGGGGTTTTGATAGAACAGATCACTCAATGGCCGGCCGTTGCATCTCATTAATTGCAAACATCAAACAATTTTTGACGGATTAAAACGCGAACTATCTAAATAAAAACAAGTGAAGCAATATTTTGTAGTTTACGCCAGACGTTAAATACAACACTTTTAACAGTTTAACGTGAACGATATATATGGAGCTACCGTGTTTTCGATCGTTGAAAACTTATTTCTGGCGTTCTAAAATTATCGTAATATATTTTCGGCCAACCATCGTAATATTTCCTAAAAACGAAACATTTGCATATAAATAACTTGTTTTAAATTTTAATTATATCTGGCTTTTGGGGGTGCAAGGCGGAACCCAATAAGACCATTTTAAAAGTAAACATTACGGACAGTCAAAAATGTTTAATAGGTTTCTATGTACGCAGAATTAGAGATTAGAATCAAAAAGTCAAAATTACCAACAAAGTCCCTAGTTCCGCACGCTATAAACATCCGCATGATATTTAAATAAAACATTTTTAACAGTTTAAAACACGAGATATATTACTCAACTTATTTTTCTATTATAAGAAATCCGAACCGACGTTTCAGATGCTTAGCAGAAGCCGTGGTCACGGGATGAAAGCATCGGATACGTCGTGTCGTAATAAATGAAAAAGAAATGTTATATATTTCGCGTATTAAACCGTTAAAAGTGATTTGGGAATATTGTGTCTTATTGGGTTATGCCTGGTTTCAAATGTAGGATCTCGAGTTCGGACGGATCTCGTTCGGTGATGGTGGTGGGCGACGACGGTCGTAGGCGCGAGCCTCTCAGCTGGGCGGGGCGGGCGGTCGCGGGGCTCTTGGTCAGTCCCCTGTCGCGGTCACCGTTGTCCAGCTCCACGGGCTATTGTAGCTCTTCTGGCTGGAATAAGGAATTATATTATTAATACACTGACCAGACAAACATTATTTCTCCATAAAAACGGTACACACGACTTAATCCTAAAAGATAGACATATAGATTTTTTTCTGTAACCGCTATTTCTTCGCTCCTATTAGTCATAGGGCAATATTTTATAAGATTAGCGAGTTCAAACATACAAACTAACAAGTAACCTATTCAGCTTTATATAACAGTATATTTCTCTTAAGATGAACTCGCAAGAACGACGGGACGCAAATGCCGTCGTGGGTAACAGCTACAACAAAAAATTAAACACTCAATTGACTTTGAAGTTCAACCGTACGTTGATTTAAAAATACAACATTGTTAAAGTCCTTTTTTGAAAACAATAATTGAAATCGAATTGAGAACCTCATTTTATAAAGTCGGTTAAAACTACTAAACCAAATTGAAATCCCGTTTCCCCGGGCGGGACGTTTTTATTTACAGGCAAGTAGTTGAATCAGACTTCATTCATAATCATAATCAACAATCATTTCCCAGGGATTCGAACTCTCTTGCGCACGCGTTGCTAGTGTTGACTAGTTACCATTTAGCTAAGGAGGTACTAAATGAAGACGATGGAATATATTTTGTAATTTCGATAGTACATCTCCATTTTAGCTCAAACATAATTGTATCTTGGAGGCTTTTAAATAAAACACTTTACGATATATTAGTTAACTAATATATCGCGTTTTAAACCTTTAAAGTGTTTTATTTCAATGTGTACTACTCGCGTAAACTATAGACAGTATCTTGGAGGATGTTCTGTCTAATCTACGTAGTCGCAGTTCGGTGTACAGTGTGATCCAACCAACACACTGTCTCGAACAGCTAACGAGATTGACACATCAGACTTAATTGGTCGAGGGCACTGTCAATTCACAACGCACATACTCTGTACAGTGTATCTACTGGCATGCTAGTTACTGTATAGACAAATTATTCTAATCTGCTATTTTAGAGAAGTTTATTCAAAAACAAGATCACTACATAGTACACAAACAAAGTCGCTTTTTCTGTCCCTATGTGCTTAAATCTTTAAAACTACGCAACGGAGTTTGATGCGGTTTTTTTTAATAGATAGAGTGAAACACTATTAAAGGATGTTATTATACATAATATATACCTTCCTCTTGAATCACTCTATCTAAATACTGTCTATAGTTTACGCGAGTAGCACACATTTAAATAAAACACTTTAACGGTTTAAAACGCGATATATTAGTTAAACTTATTTGAATCATTTTTTAACTTCGGCCCGACGCCTGAGTCTCCCCGTGACCACGGCTGCTGCAAATCATCCGAAACATCAGGCCGAAGTTAAAAATCCTTTTAAAATATATTTAACTAATATATATAATTTATTTAAATTCGGATAAATTTATAATTTTAACCGATTATTCGGTTTTGGTTTAGGTATGTTCAGTACATCCCTAGTTTGCACTGTGTGTGTGCAGTAAAACCAAATTCCAACCGCTGAACCGGAACGAAAGCTTTATTGCACAGCGTTAACAGGTGCCGAAAACCTTCATTTGAATATAGAACGCCCGTTGCAACTCGCAGGTTTAACTTTTTAATTAAACCGTACAGGACGTAATCGTAATGTATTTTCATTTAATGAAACACTTTTGACGGTTCGAAACGCGAAATATATGAATTATCGTTCAAAACACTAAGTGGTTAGAGACAAATCTGTCAATCAATTACGATAAAATATGGCTCTAGTGTAGCAGATATGACTGACAATGTGGTCACTGAGAAAACTTCAGCAAATTATTGAAAAGATCATTTCCAGCTAATTATATAGAAGGTACTTGGGGATCTATCGATGAAAGATTAAGTATCCTAGACTTGTAATATCTAAACAAGATGTGCTGTCGAGCTATTTTGACATTGCACATACATTATGTGAGTTAGGACAGAAATTGAAACGTGAATTTACACGTTTCTGCTTTTCAGACTGTGTCAAAATAAATGAGCTGAATGCTTCTGCACTTTAAAAGCTTCATAAAGAACACTACTTTAGGATTTAGAATTTAATTGCAGATGGGATAAAAGGGCACTGTGACGGCATCGCGTTTCGGTTATCGTCCGAATTTCAAAAGCTAAGTAGGTCAACAGCGTTTAGATGTTGCATTGCTGAGGTAATTAGATTCCATCTAGTGGTTTTATTAAATGCTTAAAAATATAACATAAAATCGGCTGCCTATTTAAATAAAACACTTTAACGGTTTAAAACGCGATATTAAGTGATCCTATTCGGAAATTATTTTAACTACAGCCCGACGTTTCGGATGCTTTGCAGCAGACGTGGTCATGGAGTCGTCTATGTGGTGAAATTGGTCGAGCTCGTTGGTCTAATGGTAGCAAATAATGATCGACAGGTCGTGGGTTCGTTCCCCACCGAGTCTAACATGTTTTTAATTATTTTAAAACATGTTGCACTTCGTCTGGAAATCTGGATATTGAATGGGTGGAATAAATATAGCAATTTCGTCCGGGTCACGAACCACCGTCCACAGATGAAGAATCCGTGAAGCTCAATCGCGTTTCGGTTGCTGTCTGTGGATTTCCGAATATCCAAAGCCAGAACACAGGTTAAAAACCCATGTTTTCTTCTACGATTAAGAAAAAAAAATACTCCCCCATTCTTCTCCCCTAATAACGCAATAGCAGCGCCACAACCTCTTAATGGACTATAAAACGCGGACGAATAACCGCTAATGTATAAAACTCGCTTACATTGTAACAAAATATATTTCGCTCGTTCGTACGAAAGCCATTAATACATATATTCTCGGAATAGCATTGCTATTATTGCTTTACCGATAAAGTTTGCTTAACCGAATATTCGGTTAAGGACAATGTATGTTGTATGTTGATTTTACTTTGTAACATACAATATGCAGTGCTGCCACACTTCAAAGCATATTTGCCTAAATTCGGGCAAAAAAGCACTGTCTGTAGCTAACACGAGTGGGAAATAATTGAATAAAACCCTTTAAACGGTTTTAAACGCGAAATATATTTAGTAAACTTGATGAAGCTGAAGCTGCGTTATCGACATCGTCCGCGTAGAATGGAAATAGTTATTTTGAACATCAAAATTTGTTCTTGCAAACCTCCTCCACGTAATTATAAATTAGGTAACCTACGCGTTTTTTTATTTAAATGATTCTTTGGTACCTTTTTTTTTTGGTATCTTGAACCGTTTTTGCAGCGTACGAAACCAATGACGATGAATAATTTTCCCATTTTTTTTTTACATTAGTAGCTGTATCTTCGCTTGTATTAGTCACAGGGCGGTGTTTTATAGCTCTTAAGTCTATGTCGATAAATGATCCAACCAACACAAAAAGATTTTTTCAATTCGAACCCGTAGTTCCTGAGATTAGCGTGTACAGACAAACAAACAAAATCTTTTATTAATACTAAAGATCGATTGTAACCGCCCGACGTATCGGATGCTTTGCAGTAGCCGTACTTAAAACCGTAAGCATTATATTTCGCGTTTAAAACCGTTTTATCCGTGTACATGATAATTAGCTACTTTATATTTGAGTTTATATACAGCCTGCAGACTGTGCGAAGCGCTCTGACCATAGATAAAACATCTCGCATTATAAACGACATCCGTTTCCGCGCGTATTTCGCACATATATTACATTATCTTGTTTCTTTTGCTCGCGTCCGACGTTTCGACAGCCCACCGGTGCACAATGGCCGACGTTCCCACAGGAGTCTGGACTGGACGCGTTTCCCGTGTTCGCTGGGAACACAAGCTGAACCGAAACGAAATAAAGGCCGACAATTCGCTTAAAGCTTAACTTTTGGTAAAAAAAATTAAAACTAAGTAGTACAATTCAGAACTTTAAAAGCAAGGACGAAAGTTGACGAACAAAATATAATCACAATAGTTTTTTAGTAGCCAAAGTATAAATTTTCACTAAACAGCTTTCCTCAGCTAACCTTTGATAAGTTACATCTTTGGTCGCCATATTGGGGAGTAAAACGTTCCATTTTTAAATTTAATTTATTTGGTCGCTTAACACGACAGACATGACGACGAGATAATGTCGGACCGACGGTAAAATTAATTATTAATAAGTAAATTAATATATTTTGAGTTTAAAACTGTTAGAATTTATTAAAAAATAGATCCGGTTTTATTCGATCGCTTCAATATGGGATGCGCTTTGTGTTCGCAAATGGATAAAAAATAAATAGTTTTTTATGATGGAGACAAGCATTAGTTAAGCAGTAGTCTTGGTCTAAGGACATTTCGGACGGTTTAAAACGCGAAGTTAATAGATTTATTATTAACTCGTTAAGCTGACCCTTTTTTCGACCCCAACTTTGGAATGTACTTACGTCGTTATGAGCAACCGCAAAATCGTGATACTATCATCCTTATTTATATACAAACTAGCTGTGCCCGCGACTTCGTTCGCGTGGAATTGTGGCTTGGGGTAGAATTTTGTATTATTTAGGCTGTTTATTAATGTATGTAATTTCGCATTTATCGCAGCCAATCTATGTTGTAAGCGTTACTTTGCCGCAACACTCTCACCTCACATCACTCCTACTCCTAAAAAGCCAAAGAAGAAAGTTTCATTGTTCTAGCTTCAAAGGCCACAAATTTCTATACAAACTTTTACCCCCCCTTTACAACCCCCTTTAATCCTATGTTCTTTTCTGTGTACCAAATTTCATTCAAATCCGTTCAGTAGTTTTGAAAGAGTAACAGACGGACAGACAGAGTTACTTTCGCATTTATAACATTAGTAAGGAGAAGGATTAAATTTGTAGGTATGACATTGTTTTCTAACACTTGCACATGACTTTATTCTCAAAATGATGATAAAATAACTCGCTGGTCTAATGGTAGCAGTATATGACTAATGAACAATGGGTCGTGGATTCGATCCCCATCGGGTCCAATAATTTTTTAATCGATTTAAATAGTGTCTGTAGTTTACGCGAGTAGTACACATTTGA